TGGTTTTTAGAAAGAGAGAAAGGAAGAGGGAAAGATGGAAATATCAATGACATCAAGTGGCCGCCTCCTGCATGCCCCCACTGGGGATTTAGCCACAACCTGGGTCTGTGCCCTGACCAGGAATCGAACTGGCGACCTCTTGGTGCAAGTGTCAATGCTCAACCACTGAGCCACACCGGCCAGGCCAATTTTCTACCTATTTTATTTTACTTTCTTTTCTTTCCTCTGAGTAATTTTTCTCTTCTTATCTTAAAATTTATTTCTAATGCTTAAAAAAAATAAGGAGAATTAAATGTAATTATTATTTAAGATATAACCTAGAACATTTTTTATATTGTGAAGTATTTTTGTTGTACTTTTATTATCCAAGTTTTTATTTACTATATGTATTACTTCTTGTTTACCATATTGTACTTTGAAACCTTTATTTTAAGTTTCTTAGTGTAAACACTTGGATTTTGAATGCTAATAGAAATATGTCTTTCTTAAGCTATTTCCTTTTTCTTCTAAAAAAACAAAACAAAACATCTTTAACATTCTTTCCATGTCTAAAATATATCCTAACGCCTAATTAAAGTGACAACATACCCAGAGTTGTGTAAATTCTATTTTGAGATTTTGGATTTAAGAGCTTATAATTTCTTATGAAAATAAAATTTTCTAGAATTACAAATAGATACCATATGTCATTAAAAGAAAATAAGACATATTTATTCTACTTTTAAATATCAAAATTTCCTGGATGAAATACACAGGTTATAAATGGCCTTTGAAGATTGGGATGTTTCCAGATTCCAAAAGAAGAATAAGGGCATCCAAGCACTGTTTATGTAAGACTATAGTCGTTGGTCAGCTCGAGCCTGAAATGATCAAAGACTTACTGTGTTTAACATTCAACTTGCTGAATACATTCAACCAATTTCTTCAACAACTGACCTCAGAAGTTCAAGTTTGAGGAAGCCCTGAGATTTTCCACCTCCATATTGTAATGAGTAAGCACAACTCCCGGGAAACTCTTTGTCCTGCATTAGGTTGTATCTAGCGTGCTCTCCAGGATAAAGGCTTCAGAAGGCCCTGATGAGATATGTCAGAGAGCTGCCCAGAGGCACAGCACTGTGCCTCCTGTGACTTGGCTTTTTTATTTTTTTATCCTCACCCGAGGACATTTTTCCATTTTTTATTCAGATAGAACGGGAGGGAGAGAGAGGAAGAGAGAGAGAGAGAGAGAGAAACATCGACATGAAAGGGACACATCGAGTGGCTGCCACCCGCACGACCAACCAGGGCCGGGGACAAACTGCAACCGAGGCACGTGCCCTTATTGGGAACCGAATCCGGGTCTCTCTGTACCGCAGGCCGACGCTCCAACCGCTGAGCCAAACCGGCCAGGGCCGACTTGGCTTTTGAGAGGTTCATCCAAAACCATTTGCCATTTCACTTGAGGCTTGCATTCTATTCTTTGCTTTCCTTTAGCCTGAATGCACCTCAGAAGAGGAAGGAATGGTAAGGGCTTCTACAGAACTAACAGCGGGCCTCCTGGCTGGGTTCCTGCATCATGTACTCTTATGGCACAAACCGAGGGCAGCTCCAAAGCATTGCTGTCCTCCGCCCGGCTGCCCGGAGTGGCTTGCTGAGCTGCCATAGTCCACCGAGCGACAGCAGCAAGCTTCCATACCTTTAAAGGTTTTTTAATTGTTTTGTATCTGATCAAGTTGAGATTTTTAAGTACCTCACATTTAATTTGTAATAAAAGTTTACACCTTGATTTTTTTCAAAAAAGTAATAAAAACTACAAGCACCTCTTTTTTTTTTATCCTCACCGGAGGACATTTTTCTATTTTTTGTTCAGATAGAGTAGGAGGGAGAGAGCAGAAGAGAGAGAGAGAGAGAAACATCAACATGAAAGGGACACATCGAGTGGCTGCCACCCCCACAACCCAACCAGGGCAGGGAACAGACTGCAACCAAGGTACGTGCCCTTAGAGGGAACCGAACCCGGGTCTCTCGGAACCACAGGTCAATGCTCTAACCGCTGAGCCAAACCAGCCAGGGCCAAGCACCTCTTAATAAGGGCCTTAAATAATAAGCTTTTAAAAAGAAATGAAAGGATAACAAAGAAGTGATGATACGTACAATGGAATATGACTCAGCCACAGAAAAAGAATGGACTCCTACCATCTGCAACAACATGGATTGACCTAGAGGGTATGTGCGGAGTGAAATAAATCAGACAGAGAAAGACAAATGCCAGGTGATTTTACTTCTATGTGAATCTAAAAAACAAAATAAATGAACAAGCAGAACAGAAACAGACTCATAAAGATAGAGAACATTTTGACAGTTGCCAAATGGAAGGAAGATAGGTTGGGAAAATGGATGAAAAAGGTGAAGGGACTGAGAAGTATACATTGGTGTTTACAGCATAGTCACAGGGATGTAAAGTACAGCATAGAGAATATAGTCAATAATATTGTTAACTATGTATGATGTCAGATGGTACTAGGTTTATTGGAGTGATCACTTTTTAAGGAATATAAATGTCTAACGACTGGTTGTACACCTGAAACAAATATAATATTGTATGTAAAGTTGTATGTCAACTGTAATTAAAAAATAAAAACTTAATTTAAAATGTGTATGGAAAAGCAGAAAAATTATTTGTTGTACACTTGAAACTAATATAATATGTCAATTATACTTCAATTTTAAAAAGCTGAAAACAACTTCACAAATTAAATGTAAATCACTGAAAGAAAAATGTTAAAATTTACTGAATGCTTATTATGTTTTAAAAAAAAAAGAAAAAGAGGACTTGAATAGACAATTCTGCAGAGAAGAGATACAAATGGCCAAGAAGAACATGCAAAGGTGCTCAATTAGGAAAATGCAAATCAAGACCACAATGAGATACCATCTTACACCCATTAAGGTGTCTGTTATCAAAAACAAACAAACAAAAAACTGAACACAATGTCAGGAAGGATGTGGAAAAATTGGAACCCTTGTGCACTGTTGGTGGGAATGTAAAATGATTCAGCCACTCTAGAAAATATTTTGGCAATTCCTCAAAAATCTAAACAGAATTATCGTATGATCCAGCAATTCCACTTCTGGCTATAAACCCAAAAAAGTGAAAGCAGAAGCTTGAACAAATACTTGCACACCAGTGTTTATAGCAGCATTATTCACAATAGCCAAAAGGTAAAACAATTCAAATGCCATCAAGAGACTAATGGATAAACAAAATGTGGTATGTACATAAAATGGGATGTTATTATTCAATCTTAATAGGAATGACATTTAGTTACGTACTACAACATGGATGAACCTTGAAAACATTCTGCTAAGTGAAATAAGCCAGACACCAAAGGGCAAAGGTTGTATTACGTCACTTAACTGAGGTACCTCAGGCGAATTTTTACAGACAAAAAGTATAGAATGATTACAAAAAGCTGTGGAGATGGGGAATGCAGAGTCAGTATTTAATGAGAACAGAGTTTTTGTTTGGGACGGTGAACACTGTCTGCACATGCACAGTTGTAACGGTTTCATAATATAGTGAATTTACACAATGCCATGGAACTGTATGCCCCCAAATGGTGAAAAGAGTCAATTTTATGTTGTATATATTTTACCTCAAAAAAAGAAAAGAAAGGAGGAAAAAAATAAGCAAATCTCAATGAAAGAGAGACAACATATTGTCATGAGCGCATGTGAAATGAGAGAGCATGAGTGGGCATATGTGAGGACATCTTTGCAAAATAAAAGTCATGTCCAGTAAAAAGAAATGTCATTGTTCTGGACCATCCCAGTTCAGTTTAATCATTCAGTCATTAACAGTTTTTAGAAAAAGCTCCCAAAATGAGTTTAATGTGCAGACGGGGTTGAGAACCACTGTTCTATATACATGTTAGTCTGTGTTTGTTTTCTCTTTTATCCAAGCTTAAACTTGTGCTCCAGAGAATGAAGGCTAAGACCTTGTGTTTGCTTTCAGGTGATAGTATCAAAGAGGAGCAGCGCCCCCTGGAGGCCAAAGTGATTACAACAGTGACACCAAGACAGCCTCGGGATTAAAGTTCTTTTGGAGAAAGGAGATGGAGTATAAGATCAATTTCAGGTCTGTCCACCCTTCTGTGGCCAATCTTGGAAGCTGAGAATGTCCTCTTATTGGCCTCTGCTACCCTCGGAGGGCTAGAATTTGTCTGGTCAAGAGTTTCAGCAGGTTTCCTTATAGCCTATTGTGTTTTCTGTAGTCCCTGGATTTCTCATTTAGGCTTTGGGGCCCAAAATACATGGGTTTGAATTTTTTTATCCTCACCCGAGAACATTTTTCCATTTTTTTTGTTCAGATAGAGTGGGAGGGAGAGAGAGGAAGAGAGAGAGAGAAACATCGACATGAAAGGGACACATCAAGTGGCTGCCACCCGCACGACCCATCCAGGGCCAGGGACAAAGTGCATCCGAGGTACGTGCCCTTAGCAGGAACTGAACCCGGGTCTCTCTGGACCGCAGGCTGACGCTCTAACCGCTGAGCCAATCCAGCCAGGGCATGGGTTTGAATCTTAGACCTGCCATTTATTTGACATGGGGGAAGACACATAACTCTTCCAGTCTGCAGGTTTTTTTGTTCTTCTGTAAAGTGGGGATAGTGAAGGTCCCTGGAGGCTCACCACAGTTAATAGATTTATTCACAACGTGTTAGTAAGTTGGGTGGTAGGATTTGAACCCAGCCAAAGCCTGCATTCTTAACCACAGGAAGTCACTGGCCCCAAGTCCGATGATTCTGAAGCCAGGCTTCTTTCTACCCCGTCAGTGCCACATGGGTTAGGACAGGAAAGGATGTGGGAACACGACATGAGCTTTGCGATTAATTAGAACAGGCTTCATTGAATTGGAGCAAATAAAGGGAGATGTGAAGAAGTCTCAGGATGCAGAGTTGAGTCCACTCCCTTAAAACTGCAGGGATTCTCGGGCCAGGGAGGGGCAGACGGGGTCCTTACCTCATAGCACATGAACAGGCCGAAGGGCTTGGTAGGCTTGATCCTGATGCCAATTGTGCCTTCAGTGTTGGGCGGCAGGATGTTGCCCTTGCTGTCAATGATCTGAAGCAAGATCATCTGTGAGTCCCACCCTGCCGGCCTCCCCAACACTCCTGCCCCACCCAAATGCTGCCTGGCTTGTTCATGTGACACCAGTGGGGATCATTGGGGATCCCTGTCGTCAGAAAAAGAATAAAATTGTCACATCTTTGAAATCAGCGAGACATGCGTCTATCTGTTTGATGGGATACGGACATTGCGAATGTGTCTTCAAGCCAGGAAGCATGGGTCAGGAAAAGCTAAAAGCACCAGGCGGACACAGCTGCCCGTGCTCCTCCTGGGAGCTCTGTGTGAGCCTCCGGCCATCAGGGGGCTGTACTTATGCCCACAATACTGAAACCTCCCCAGGAAATCAGAGGGAAAATAGGAGCAGGGGAGGAAGGACAACTCGGGCAGAGGCACGGCTGCTTCTGCCACCTGGTGTCACACAAGGGTCCAATCCCAGCGGAGCCCTCGATGCTCCCTGACAATGCCTTTAGGAACAGACCTGGACTTCGAAGGGTGGGATGGCTTTCCCCATGGAACCGGGCTTAATCTTCATTCCCCGGAAAGTACCACAGGCTAGGCCCTGTGCACAAAAGAGGGAGAATACTGGTTGTCAAAGGGTCCGGGCTGATCACAAAGCAGCAAGAATCATACACAGCATCTCTGCTCACAGATGCCACAGAGCCCTGTGGGGAAGCTAGAAGGTCTGGACTGTAGGCTCAAGGTGTTGACCCTGCTCTTCCGCAGACGTTCACTGCTCTGGGCCAGTGCTGGCTGCTGCGGCGACAGGGTCCAGTGGGGGAGGCCAAGAAGGGAGCAAAGGGCTAACCCAAGGGCTGTGGGCCTGTGCTGTGGGTGGTAGGGAGCTCACTGCATGCCAGCCATGTGTCCATTTGCAGGGAATGTCACAAGTCCATCTGCCAAACATTTGCTCAGGACTGTTAAACAGTGATAGGAATCCTGCCTCATCTGCTTCTCTGGGCTATGTTGAAACTGCTCAGTTCTCCTGATGAACTACGTCTCCTTTGTGGCTCTCTGACATACCCTTCTTTCTAAAGCTAAGTGCTTTGCCATCAGACAGACCAGGTGTGAATCTTGACCAATGAATGCCCCTGGATCTCCTCTGCCAAAGGGGCACGGTTCCAGCGTCCCCCACAGAGAGCTGGCAGGTGTTGGGCTGCACAGTGGTCGCACACACCGAGTTCAACTGGCTGCTTAGGTCAACCAGCTGTGACCCAGGCCCCACCAGGGTCAGCTGGGAGATTCTCCTGTAGCATTTTCCCCACATTTCTATTGTCACCAACAGGGCATTATACTGATTTTTTTTTTTTTTTTATCCTCACCCGAGGATATTTTTCCATTTTTTGTACAGATAGAGTGGGAGGGAGAGAGAGGAAGGGAGAGAGAGAGAGAAACATCAACGTGAAGGGACACATCGAGTGGCTGCCACCCGCACGACCAACCAGGGCCGGGGACAAACTGCAACCGAAGTGATTTTTGCATGTCTGTTTCCCTCAGTAGATAATAAACACCTGAGCATCGAGATGGCCCCATCGAGCTCTGCTCTCCTGACATCTGGCCACTACCTCCCCACATCCAGTGAGGACAGCAGTGCCCGCACTGTGGACATGTGCCGGGCTGGGCACTGTGGCCGGAGCTTTACATACTTCCTTTCATTCCCCTCGTCACCACCCACATCATCCTAATTCCCATTTTGGAGAGAGGGAAGTTGAGCTTCTGGAAGGGTCTATGGTAAGCCTGTGGTCTTGAAGCATGCCATTGGCAGTGCTGAGGCGAACTGAGGCCTGAGCTCCTGAGAGAGGAAGGTCTTCCCTCTGCCACGCTGCTGCTCACACTTCAGGCGGAAAGTGCTCACAGATGAGTGAGTGTTGAAAGTGCTCTGGGAAATGAAGCACCATGCAGGGGTAAGGCAGCATTCTGTTTCAAATAGCCAGTGCAAAGGGACTGGGGTTATGGGTGTGGCGTGTGGTTCTCCTAGTCCAAAAATGAACTGTGAGCCATGCAAGGACAGGCCTAGAAGCAGATCACTTAACTGATTAAAATAATTGTTTTTGCAAAAAAATAAATACATAAAAACATCACACAAATATGTGAATTAGGACTGAAACAGGCATTTTGCTGCAGGTCCTGTAGGGGCAGTCGACTCTGTCCACTGACAGGATAGTGGGAGGCTGGGGAAAGTGGCTCTGTCAACATCAGAAGGGGGTGGAGGCCCTGCCGGTGTGGCTCAGTGGTTGAGCATCGACCCATGCACCGAGAGGTCGCTGGTTCGATTCCCAGTCAGAGCACATGCCCAGGTTATGGGCCCGATCCCGGGGGCGGGGGGGGTGTTTATGCAGGAGGCAGCCAATCGATGTTCTCTGTCATTGATGTTTTCCTCTCTCTCTAAAATCAATAAAGAAAAATTAAAAAGTGGGTGGAGGATGCCTTAGAAGAGAGGTAGCCCCTCGTACTGTCACTGATGGAGTCCTTGAGGTTCCAGCTGGGCATGCTGCTCTGAGTGCCCTGCCCACCTGCCTGCTCAGTGATTCAGTGTGGGATCACAGTGTGTGTATGGGGGGGCGGTGAGAGAGAGAGAGAGAGAGAGAGAGAGAGAGATGTCTCTGCTCCCTCCCCCACTCCTGCTCATGCCCCATAGTCAAACCTGTGTGCTGCCTTCATAAACACCCAGAAATGAACTTCTGGGGCCAGCTGCTGCCTGGCCCTGTGGTTGCTGGTCCTAGGGAGGGAGGGTGACTTGGGCAGGACATGCAGGTGGGGGCCTCCATGTTGCAGGAGTGCACCTCCATTTCCATCACCCCTCCTGGGCTCCCCTGGTCACAGGAACATAGCACCGTGTCCTTAGACCCCTTTGTAAGATTTTGTCCAGTAGTTTTCAGCACACTGGTGTCTTGAAAAGTCAATGGGCTGTGTGTGAATTGTCCTTCTGCAAATTGATTTGGGGCAAGTTAGCCTAGAATGTTGGAGCCTCCCATCTGCTTGCTGTGCGCACAGTGGGGCCTGTACACCCACTCGTGGCCTGATTCAGCTCATCTGCTGGACTCGGGGCTGGGCACATGCTGACTGACCCAGAGGGGCCTGTCCACCTACCGTTTCTGACTGTCCATAGCCCTGGTAGAGCAGAAGGCCCGTCTGTTGTCTCCATTTCTCTTGCTCCTCTGGCATTAGGGCCTCCCCGCCGGTACTGCAGTGCTCCAGGGTGGGGAACCTGAGGCTTAGGGGTAGACAAGGTCTCAACAGAGCTTCAGAGCAGGCCCTGGACGCTCCAACCCGGCTCAGGTGTTAGGACCTCATTCATCCTTCTGTTTCCTCACTTTCTTACTTGCCTTCCGGTTGGAGTCATTCACTTCCGGTCAGTCCCTATTACCTCTTCCACAGACGGGGGTGTGTGTGTGGTGATGAAGCTCAGGGTTCAGTGAGAGATCAAATTAAATTTGGATGTTGAGACCATGTCTGAGGGAGGCATTCTATGTGGTAAGAGAGACGTTTTTATAAACCATATAGGGGTGAAGGCTAGGACTCCAGGGACATGCTGGGAAGGTACTTGGACTGTACTTTCTGCCTTCTGGGGAGAGTGGGGTTATGTGCACTGAAGGGTTTGTGTTTCTGAGTGGAGAATTCAAGTTAGGGGTTGGAAATGAATTGTTCAGGACGTCTGGGAAGATTGGGCTGAGTGTTAGAACAGAGGACAGTGGTCACAGGTGACAGCCCTGAGAGAAGAAATGTTGGAGAGAACAGAAAAGTCTACTGTGAATGTGTAGTAGGTACATCGTGTGCTAGGTACATTGTGCACCAGGTCCATCATGTACTCAGTACATCATGTGCTAGGTACTTCGTGTACTCGATACATCGTGTGCTGGGTACATTGTGTACTGCAGATCCTATCTTCCATCTTCCCTGTGAAAATTCCCATTAATAATACAAAAACAATCACACAGTCATGATGGGTTTTCTGAAGGAAATGGGGAGAAGTGACTGAGGTCTGAGTACCAGCAGGCTGAGCCAGGCCAGCCCTTGGGGATGAGGGAAGTGGCAGACATATGGCTCCCCTTTCCACCCTGTCACCCTCTCCTGGTACACAGAGTCATGAGTGCCAGACAGGGCATCTGGTTTAGTTAAGGGTGTCTTCCTCATTCTTCTGGAGCCTTCTCCAAAGTAGATCAAATGAGGAGAGTCTCCAGCGGAGTCATTAGTTGTGCCCTGGTTGAAATTTTACTGGGTTTGGACAAAGTTCATCACCTGAAGAATGATGCAAAAAGTGACTGCAATATGAGCTTTGAAATACAGATAGAGACAGAATCCAGCCAGGTGGAGGCTTCATGAATAAAATCAAGTTGTATTTCAGAGTTAGCTTGGTAAGGGTAGATATTGAACTGCTTGATATTTTAACTCTATGTCTAAAATTTGTAAGGTCTGATTTTTGAAGCAGCCATTTTCATTTTAGAGTATCTAAAATATGCATAAGTGCCCTGGCTGGTTTGGCTCAGCAGTTAGAGCATCAGCCTGTGAACCATAGGGTTGCGGGTTTGATCCCCAGCCCTGGTTGGGATTGTGAGGGAGGCAGCCAATTGATGTGTCTCTTTCATGTTGATGTTTCTCTCTCTGTCACTCCCTCCCTTCCACTCTATCTAAAAATCAATGAAAAGCCTGGCCAGTGTGGCTCAGTGGTTGAGCGTCAACCGATGCACTAAGATGTCTCCAGTTCCATTCCTGGTCAGGGCACATGCCCAGATTGTGGGCCTGATCCCCAGTGGGGGCATGTAGGAAGCGGCCAGTCTATTTTCTCTCTCATCAATGTTTCTATCTCTCTCTCCCTCTTCCTTCCTTTCTCTCTAAAATCAATAAAGAAAAAAATATTTTAAAAAATAAAATAAAAATCTATGAAAAAATATCCTTGGGTGAGTATTAAAAAATAATAAATAAAATATATACATAAATGCCCATTAAATTCAAAGACAAGATTGCAGTTTAACTAAAAATAAATGTACAAACACAGGGGGATACAAAAATAAAACTATAGTAAAATAACACTATGCATCTGTGAGATGGGCAAACATTTATAAACTTTGATAAGAACAAATATTGCCAAAGATGTAGAACTGATACTGTTATAATAATCTAGTTATTAACTAACAGGGAAGGAGCAAAGGGGAGACTGGATGACATAGGCTGGCCAGTTATACAGCTTTGCCAGAAAGCTGCAGTTTAACATCCTCCAGGTCTGTTCCCCTGTGGATCAGTGGGAGAAGGGACTGGACAGAGACCGTTTAGATGCATGCCTGGTAAGGTCTGGGTGATGTGGGTAGATGCTTACCTGTTAGTCACACCTGGGAATGGGTAATTGGCCAGAACAGGCATGAAATCTGAGATACTTAAACTCCTGAACAAAGGGAGGTCTCCCTCTTGGCTCTCTTGCCCTTCTTGCTCTTGCTGATGGTGCCCAACGCCTGGCTTGCGGGGCTCTCACACTCCTGCAGTCGCCCACATGGCTCATGGCCAGGTAGACCCCCCACACAACGGACTAATGGGTTGTGATTAGCCTGATTCTATGCTGGACTTAAATCCACCATGTGATGGAAACTCTGGACACTGGCTCTGCTTCTAGCTCTGCTGAAAACCCCTTTCCCAGGACTGGGTTAAGGGAACTGGGACTTTTGAAACCAAAGGATATAACTTCACACAAATAAAGATCACTCATTCTCCTGTGAGAGTCTCAGAAAATTCTTTTTCTCAAGATATCATAAGAATCCAGCCCCCAGTACCCAATGGGGAAAGGAATCCCCATTCCCACTGGTGGACACTCCACTTCCACCAATAACAGAACAATGAAAATTCTTCCTACCGTGCTTAAAAACATTGATATGGCAGGGACACATCGATTGGTTACCTCCTGCATGGCCCTGACCACGTCTGGGGATTAAACCTGCACCCCAGGTATGTGCCCTTCACCGGATATCGAACCTATTACCCTTTAGCATGTGGACCAATGCTCTAACCACTGAACCAAACCTGCCAGGGCTCAATGCAGTATTGATCATAAATAGCCCTCAAATGGAAACTACCCAAATGTCCATTAATGGCAGAACTGATTTTTAAAAAGGTGGACTTTTGCCCTGGCTGGTTTGGCTCAATGGTTAGAGCATCGGCCTGAGGACCAGAGAGTCCTGGGTTCGGTTTCCACGAAGGGCACGTACCTCAGTTGCAGTTTGTCCCCAGCCCAGGTTAGGGTCCTGTAGGTGGCAGCCACTCTATGTATCTCTTTCACATCAATCTCTCTCTCTCTCTTCCTCCCTCTCTCCCTCCCACTCTATCTGAAGATAAATGCAAAAATGTCCTCGAGTGAGGATTTAAAAAAAAAAGTGAACTTTTCATAAAATGGGATATTATACAGCAATATGATGCAACATGGACACATCTTAGAAATACAACGTTGGAAAAAGAAGCCAGATATTACAGAAAAAATACATGATTACAAAGCTCAAAAGCAAGTAAAATAGACTGATTTGTTTCAGGATATTTCCTTAGGAGGCAAACTACAAGGGAAAATAAACAAATAAGAGAAAAACAAAAACAAAAGAAAGAAATGCACACCATAAAGGTCAAGATAGTGGGTTCCTTTAGGGGAGACGGAAAGGTATGAGCACGTCACTGGGGGGCTGGGAATGTCCTTTTTGTGACTTGAATGAAAGGTTACATAGGTGTTTAATTTTCAACAATTTCTTAATCTGCAAATTTATCTTATGTATTTTTCTGTATATTTGTTATTTATTTCACAATAAAAAATGTTTAAGAAACCCACAATATTGCGGGCTCACCAAGTACTTCATTTGGATCTCTGAGCCCTGCTTAATAAACTAATTAAACTGGCTGATAATTATCACTACCAACAATTCATACACACACACACACACACACACACACACACACACACACACTACCCTCGAAGAACGAATTAAAGCAGTCAGACTGAGACCATCCTTAGCTAGTTACTAAAAGAGAACAGCGGAGTGAGACATTGTTGAGCAAGGTCAGCTGGGAAGCAGAGGCCCATTTGCTTCACCAGGAAGCTACAGCTTCACACCTCAAGAAAACTGTAGCACTGTCCCTCCCAGGAGACTAACACCCCTCCCTCCCCCAATCTGGTTCCTACGTATAATATTGTGTCATCTGCGAGTAGTGACAGCTTAACTTCCTCCTTTCCCATTTGGACCCCTTTTATTTTTTCTTCCTGTCTGATTGCTGTAGCTATGACTTCCAATACTATGTTAAATAAGAGTGGCAAAAGTGGGCATCCTTGCCTTGTTCCTGTTCTTAAGGGAAATGCTTTTAATTTTTCCCCATTGAGTATGACGTTGTCTATAGGTCTTTCACATATGGCCTTTATTATGTTGACATATGATCCCTCTATTCCCAGATTGCTGAGCGTTTTTATCAGAAATGGGTGCTGGATTTTGTCAAATGCTTTTTCAGCGTCTATTGATATGATCAAATGATTTTTATCTTTCATTTTGTTTATGTGGTGTATCACATTATTGATTTGCAAATATTGTACTAGCCTTGCATCCCTGGGATTAATTCCACTTTGTTATGGTGAATAATTTTTTTGATGTATTGCTGGATTCGATTTGCTAGTATTTTGTTCAGGATTTTGGCATCTATGTTCATCAGGGATATTGGTTTGTAGTTTTATTTGTTTGTAGTGTCTTTTTTCAGCTTTGGAATTAGAATTATGCTGGCCTCATAAAACGAGTTTGGAAGTCTTCCTTCTTCTTGAATTTTTTGAAATAGTTTGAGGAGAATGGGTATTAGTTTTTCTTTGAATGTTCGGTAGCATTCCCCCTTGAAGCTGTTCGGGCCTGGGCTTTTGTTTGCTGGGAGAGTCTTGATTACATCTGGAATTTCTTCTGTTGTTATTGGTCTGTTCAAGTTTTCTATCTCTTCTCGGTTCAGTTTTGGGAGACTATGTGTTTCTAGAAATTTGTCCATTTTGCTTAGATTGTCGAATTTGTTGCCGTATAATTCTGTTCACAATCCTTTGTATTTCTGTGGTGTCAGTTACTATTTCTCTTCTTTCATTTCTGATTTTGTGTCTTTGGGTTCTCTCTCTTTGTTTCTTGGTGAGTCTAGCTAATGGTCCATCAATTTTGTTTATCTTTTCAAAGAACCAGCTTTTTGTTTCATTGATCCTTTGAATTGTTTTTTGGTCTCCATGTCATTTATTTCTGCTCTGATCTTTACTATTTCCTTCCTTCTACTTGCTCTGGAGTTTTCTTTTTGTTTGCTTTCTAGTTGTTTAAGTTGTAAAGTTAGATAGTCTATTAGAGATTGTTCTTGCTTCTTGAGATAGGCCTGTAGTGCTATGAACTTCCCTCTCAGAACTGCTTTCGCTGCATCCCATAGATTTTGTGTTGTTGTGTGTTCATTTTCATTGGTTTCCAGGAAGTTTTTAATTTCTTCCTTGCTCTCCGTGGTAACCAATTCATTGTTCAATAACATGCTATTTAGCCTCCATGTTTTCAAATGTCTTTGCACATTCTTGTTGCAATTGATTTCTAGTTGCATGCCATTGTCATCTGAGAAGATGCTTGATATCTTCTTGAACTAGTAGAGACTTAGTTTCTGTCCTGACATGTGATCTATTTTTGAGAATGTCCTTTGTGCACTTGAGAAGAATGTGAATTCTGCAGTTTTGGGGTGTAATTCTCTGTAGATATCTATTAAATGCATTTGATCTAGCGCTTCATTTAGAGTCTGCATTTCCTTGTTAATTTTTTGTCTAAAAGATCTATCCAGTGATGTCAGTGGGGTGTTGAAGTCCCCTGCTATGATTGTATTGCTGTTGATTTCTCCTTTGAAGTCCTCCAAAAGATTTTTAATATAGGTTGGTGCTCCTATATTGGGTGCATATATGTTTATCAAGGCTATGTCTTCCTGTTGGATAGATCTTTTCAATATTATGTAGTTATAATATTGTCTCTAGTTATGGCCTTCATTTTGAAATCTACTTTATCAGATATGAGTATTGCTACCCCAGCTTTTTTTTGCTTTCCGTTTGCTTGAAAGATTTTTTCCCATCCCTTCACTTTCAACCTATGTGAGTCTTCTGTCTAAACAACATATATGTGAGTCATGCTTTCTTATCCAGTCAGCTACTCTGTGTCGTTTTATCGGAGCATTCAAACCATTCATATTTAAGGTGATAATTTATATGTACTTATTTATTGCCAGTTTTGTTTAGTGTGGTTCTATTTTTCCTCCTGTTTCTTCTATTAGTTACAGCAGTCCTTTTAACATTTCTTGCAGTGCTGGTTTGGTGTTAATATATTCCCTTAGCCTTTTTTTTGTCTGGAAAGCTCTTTATTTGACCTTCTATTTTTAATGACAGCCTTGCTGGGTAGAGTAGTCTTGGATTGAGATCCTTGTTTTTCATGACCTTGATTACTTCATGCCACTCCTTTCTGGCCTGTAGTATTTCTGTTGAGAAGTCAGCTGAGAGTCTTATGGGGTTTCCTTTGTAGGTAACCTGTTGCTTATCTCTTGCTGCCTTTAGGATTCTCTCTCTGTCTTTAATTTTTGGCATTTTAATTACTATGTGTCTTGGAGTGGGTCTGTTAGGGTTTCTTACTTGGGGCTCTTTATGCTTCTTGAAGTTGAATGCCTTCTTCCTTCACCAAGTTAGGAAAGTTTTCTGTCATTATTTCTTCAAATATATTCTCTAACCCTTGCCCATTTTCTTCCTCTTCGGGGACTCCTATGATGCGAATGTTATTATGTTTCCAGTTTTCCCAAGTTCTCTTAAGCTATCTTCCTGTTTTTCCTTTTGGTTTTCTGATTGGTTGATTTTTTTCTACCCTATCTTCTAATTCACTGATCTGGTGTTCAGCTTCCTCTACTCTGGTGGTTAGTCCTTTCAATGTGTTCTTAACTTCTGCTATGCCATTCTTCATTTCCACTTGGTCGGTTTTCAATGTTTCTATATGTTTACTCATGGTGCTGATGTCCTTACTCATGCTGTTGAGCTTCCTCAAGATAATGGCTCTGAACTCTATCTCTGATAATTTGCTTAGCTGCATTTCATTTATCTCCTCTTCGATAGAGTTCTCTTGTTCTTTAATTTTGGGATTTGTTTCTTTGTTTCACCATTTTGACTATCTCAGTGGGTTTTGGAGCCTGCCAAATTTTCCCTGTGGGTGTTGGTGTTCTGCTGTTTGTGGCTCCCTCTACTGGATTTGGATGAGCGTGGGTGAGCCCATGCTAAACACCACTGTCAAGTTTTACTTTCCTGGGTAGATTTGCTAGCCAAGGAAAGGTTCAGTTATCCTCTAGCTTTTTCCTGGTGGCTAGTAGTCTCAGTTACTCAGTGCCTTGGAATGTAACCCTGGTGTTCTGCATAAGAGGATTTCCAGAGGGTGGGATAGATGCTGGTTGTTAATGAGCCTCGATTTTTATTTCTTTGCCTCACCTGGGAAAGGCTGAATCTCTGAGGGGGCAGGGGGTGCTGCTGCTTTTCCCCACAGCTCTGGGAAGGAGCACACTGGCCACCGTCCTTTGTGGCCGCAACTCAGCAAAAACTGTGAGTGCCCTCCAAATCCTGGGTGTCCTCACAGAGTTCCAGCCCAGTCTGCCCTCCCTCTGCGTAGCCCCCAGGTGTGTGGCTGTGGCTATTTTAATGCTCTGTTCTGGCTCCCTACACTGTGGAGTGGGCTTGGTCTTTATTCCCCAAGGGCGCTGCTCACAGCTAAGACTGCTGCTGCCCTTGGGCTCCCTCTCGCACCTCCGCAAATCCTACCAATGTCCCTGGTTATACGGTCCTGTCCTGCTGCTTTTCAGTTGTTGTTTTTTCCGAGGATTTGTCTTTATTTTAGTTGTAATTCCCATTTGGTCCTGGGAGATTGTCTGAGTAGTTTCTATTCACTCCGCCTCCATTTTTCACATCCTCCATGCCTATCTTGTGCACAGCTGGGTCTCACAGGCCTTACTGGTGCCCCTGCATCCTGCAGTTCCCGCAGACCGGCAGCTGGATCTCACCAGTCCCTCTCAGGTTCCGGCCTCCCACCGCTCTTGTGAGCTACTGGACAGCACAGGCCTCTGTGGAGCCCCGGGTCCCACTGCTGGGGGCTGTGGAGTGCTGCTGCCCGCTGGGGCTCAACTCCTGCTCAGCTTTTGCTGTAGTTTTGGGGGATGGGTCTCAGTTGCTGGTCTGTGCTTCTGTTGCCTGGGGATGGATTCTGCTCCCCAGCCTCTGGTGCTGAGGGTATATCTGGACTCTGATCGGACTGCTACTATGGGGGATGGTGCTGGGCTCTGGGCTGTCTGTGGCTTCCGAGAAGGGCACCTTGGTAGCTCCACTACTGTGCACCAGTCTGTGTTGACACAGAGTGTCCATGGGTCCGATGGTGCCAGGTGTGCTGCTGGGCTCAGGTTGCTGGGCCCTAGCCGCTCCCACTGCCTCCTCCCAGGGAAGACCCGGGATCTTCCAAAATGGTGGGACCTCCCCGCGGGGCAGGGGGAAGCCCCAGAAGGGCCGCTCACTGCGGTAGCCGGCTGCTCTGACCACAGCACAGCAACCTTCTGCTCCGGGCTCTGCACTGCTCGGGTTTGGTCGTCCACCTTCACCTTCACGTCCACTCACACTCTCTCACACACTCGCTCACTCTCACACACTCGCTCACTCTCTCACACACTCACCCTCCCTCGGGTCCTGCCTGCAGCCCTATATATATATCGGGAATTTCCCTATCCCGTTCCTGATTGTGTGTGTGGGAGGGGACTGAGGGGAGGTGCTGGACCATAAAGGCCTGTCAGTCTAACCTGGGAAAAAGATCATGGAACCCCCAATGCAAGCCCCTGAAATCTTGGGAAGTTAATTGATTGTTTTGAAAAAGTTCCTGGTTAAAACCTCATGAGAACAAAGCTCTTTTTCTTTCTTGCTGCAGACGCACTGGCCCTATTGGTTCTTATTCTTTTGCACCTGGGAGCACAAGACCATACAGGTCTAGTGGCCACCTGGGGCCCACGGAAGACTGTGCCGGCCCAAAGGATTATGGAGCAGGAACTCTGGGCATTGACCTTTGCGTTGGCCTCGTTGAAGACAAGACTGACTTTTCCATGGCAGGACAGAGAGAGATGGGCCACTGGGGAGCCAGGAGAACTCTTTTGATATTACATCACAGACAAACGACATTGCCACATCACAGTCTCCCACTCATGGATCCTCGAAAGAGCCTGTTGCCCACTGACAACAATACCACAGACTCCCGAAAACTCTATCCAAAGACTGTTTTCACAACAAGCCACTTCTACCATACCTGGTAAAATTCTCCTGCAGAATCATTCGAAATACGGAGGGCGCAGCAAGGTATTGGGTGATAGGGTATTTGAAGAATGTCTACAAAGTGAGGAAAGAAAAGATTTATTTTTATAGCTAAGATAACAAATATTGGTCAATTATTAGCATTTTAATTCTGATCAGCTCTCCAGGACAGCCCATTTATTCATTGTTACTTCTTCCAGTATATGGATATTGAATATGATGTGCTTATGGACTGAGGGAGTAGAGCTGATGAACAGTGAGAGACTGATAATACAGAAGAAAAGGTGTAATGCGTTAGAGATGAGCAGAGGGGCCTCCAGTAGAAGGGCCTGGAGGCGAACAGGACCCACAGCAGTGTGGGGAGGGGCTGGGCCTCTGAGAGGTGGAGAGGCAGGTCTGCTGAAGGAAAGCAAAGGTGTGGGGAGTGGACAAAGGAACAGCATTTTCAGGTGCAGGGAAGTAATCTGCGGGGGTTATGCAGGCGACTTCAGTTGTCACCATGGTGTACACATGACAATAATAGCAACTGCTACCGATTACTGAGTGTTTTTAGGTGCAGGCCTCAGGCCTAAGCACTCGACACTCTTTGCCTGCATCATCTCAATATTCCCAACGATTTTATGAGGCAGTAACTATTAAAACTCTTATCTTACAGGGGAGACTGAGGCTCAGAGAGGTAAGTAGACTGCTAATAAATGCTAAATGTGTGAAAAGAAACTAGAGCCTTCATATTCCACGGATTCTGTTTTTACAAATTTTTTTTTCTTTATTTTTCTTTATTGACTTTAGAGAGAGAGAGAATCAATGAGTGAGAACATCAATTGGCTGCCTCCTGCATGCCCCCCACTGGGGATTTGGCCCACAACCTGGGCATGTGTCCTGACCCGGAATCGAACTGGCGACCTCTTGGTGCATGTGTCGATGCTCAACCACTGAGCCACAGCAGCTGGGCCAAGGGTTCTGTTTTCAAACACACACACCAGCTACCTGGCCCTGGAGGAGCCAGGAGACCTGAACCTGCTCTGGTTGCTTTAATTTCTCAAAATGTATATTCCGGATGATTCTGATACAATGACTAATTCGGCACCTCACATTTTGAGAAACCCAGAACCCGGTTTATAATATACTAATGGGCTTCTTCATTATATAAATTATTTGTCAGCAAGGTCCAGCTTTTGAGCTTGAAACAGGAGTTTCTTTTGGGAGTGTGTTGATACAAAAAGGTTAGTCCTCTTACCTGTATTATGACCTTAGGGTCAAACTGGGGCAGATGATGGATGAAGACTGTAGATCCTGCTGTCCATGGTGTAAACAGGGACCCTATGGCAGCCATAATCCAGCCTGGATCTGACAGGCACCAGAGGACATCAGCCGCCTTCAGCTGCAGGAATTTCCTGCTAACTCCAAAATACAGCAGACTCAGCATTGTAACCATGGGAGGGTATAATCAAGGGCTGGGATGTGGATCTCACTCTCAGTTCCTGTGGTTTGTGTGGGGCTCCAGACTCCCTCCCACCCCAGGTCCAGAGGCACATCAAATCATATTTCCTGGTCACATGCCACTTCAACTGGTTCAGTCATAACGATCCTTAAGGCTGGGAATACTGGGATGAAGTCTGTTTCCGGATTTGAGTCTGTTACTGCTATAGTCTTGAGCAATGCTGACAGTCGGGAAAAATAAGGGATGGGCCTTTCTGAGAACAGCATCAAAACATGACAGTAACAGCTGGTAGATGGAGAGAAGAAAACTCGAATCGAGAGGCGACTCAGTTGTCTGAAGCACTTCTCTACTCTACTCTTACTGCTTCCAAGCGACCTCTGTGTGCTTAACTCCTTGAGAAAAGTCAGCTCTCCATGAGCAGGCTATAGCTTGGAAGGGCTTTTCTACTAGTAGGGAGGGCGGGGGAGGGAGAGCCATTCACACTCCCTCAGCCCATCTCTCCTAGGACTGTGGCACACCCACAGGAAAGCACTAGCTCTGGGGACCTCCGTTCTGAGCTTCAGACCCAACCACCCACTGAATATCTCTTCTGGGATGTCTCAGGCACGCCAAACCCAGAGCACCCTAGTCTCTCCTACCTCCCCGGACTGATTCTTCTCCAGTGTTCTCTGTATTTCAGTGAATGTCATTACTGCCCAAGCCTGAAACCTGGGAGTCCACCGTGACTCCCTGCCCTCTCCTATCTCCCACATCTAGGCAGCACACTCGTTCTATCTCCTAAAATCTCACACTTGTTAACTTCTGTTATAACCCAGTAATTCTCCATCTGCTAGAAGAAGGAACCTCTCCTGGGTTCCTTGAACCCGAGTTGTTTTTGCAAAAGTCCTTGAAGAGGAAGGTATGCATTCCTTGAACCCGAGTTGTTTTTGCAAAAATTCTTTTTTATTTTTTTATTTTTTTATCCTCACCAGAGGACATTTTTCCATTTTTTGTTCAGGTAGAGTGGGAGGGAGAGAGAGGAACAGAGAGAGAGAGAGAAACATCGATGTGAAAGGAACACATCGAGTGGCTGCCACCCGCACAACCGACCAGGGCCGGGGACAAACTGCAACCGAGGTACGCGTCCTTAGCGGGAACTGAACCCAGGTCTCTCAAGACTGCAGGCCAACGCTCTAACCGCTGAGCCAAACCAGCCAGGGCTGCAAAAATTCTTGAAGAGGAAGGTATGCATCAGCCATGACCATGAGCTTAACTAATCAGGAGATGCCAGACAGGACAATGAGGCATTCAAGGCTGGGGTCTAGTAAATGTTAAGAAATATAAAATAAACAACTTGTGCAGTTACTAACGGCTGATATCTGCTTCTGTACACGTAGCTTGCTTGCTCTGCCAAACTCTTGAGTAACCTCTGCCCTATATAAGCAACCCTCCCCCTGAGCTCGGGGCTGCAGTTCTCCTCTGTGTAGGTTGGCTGCAGTCCCTGCGCAGGTAATAAAGCTCCTAATATTCAAAATTATTTGGTGTCTGAGTGAGGATGACTCTCCCGGGTTACAACACTTCCTTCATATCCCCTGCATCTTGTCCAAGCCACTACCATCTGGCACCTAAATTATTCTAAGACTCTCTAATTGGTTTTTCTAAATCTATCCTTTTCCCAACCCATCTCCATCCTGCAGCCACTGATCTTTTCAAAATACAAATTTGATTAGGTCTCTCCCTTGTTAAAACTTTTCAGTACCTCCCCATTGTTTTCCCAATAAGCTCCAATCTGTGCGCCATAGCCCATACAACCCTGTATGATCTGGGCCCGGCTCACTCTCTCAGCTCCTCCAGTGTGTCCTCACCTGACACCCTGAGCAGCAGCTCTTCTCAAATCTCTATAGTTCTATGAATGCTACTATTTTTTTATAATCCTCACCTGAGGATATTTTTCCATTGAATATTTTTTTAGATAGAGTGAAAGGAAGGGAGAGAGAGCAAGAATGACAAAGAGAGAAACACTGATGTGAGAGAGAGACACTGATTGGTTGCCTCCCATATGATCCTGAGTGGGCCAGGAATCGAACCCAAAACCCAGGTATGCGCCATGGACCGGCACTCTTTGGTCTGAGTGCCGATGCTCTCACAGCTGAACCAAACCAGCTAGAGTGGGAATGCTACTTTTTATCTTTGTGCTTTTGCTTGTATTACTCTGACCACACAGAAAAGCCTCCCCTGCTTTCTGCCCCCATTCCTTCAAGGTCTTGCTGATCAAGTGCTATTGTTAGCACGATACCCAGTGTCCAGAAGACACCTTTTCTGGCCCATGGTCTCATTAATAAGGTAGAAAATATATAGATCTTGATCTGGTCTGAATATTGCTAGTTGAGGGAGGAGGAGGGTGGAGGAGGAAGGAGGAAGAAGAGATTTGGTTTAATGTTGATTAAAGAATTAACCCAAGGCTATGGCTTCAGCCTCTACAATATTTATTTTAGGTTCAAGGTAGTAGCTTGATTCCAAGTATAACTTCTCTTAACGGCTCATGATTGGGAAACTCCAAGTATGACTTGCTCATAGTGAAGGAGAAAAGAGGACCTGTCACCTCTGGTCACATTGCTACAGCATTCTGTCCTCCTCCCACCAAACCCTGAAACCAGTGACAAAGACACAATGGCTTGTCAGTGTAGTTTACAGAATACCTGCTACCTCCACCCACGTTTCCTCCACACCCTGAAGGTGCTCAGGCAGGACCCCCGTTGTCCTTGGGAGGCTTCAAACACTGAGGAGGCCAGGCCTCTGCCTCGTGACCCTTAGCGGTCTGAACCAAAGGGAGCAGAAGGGAGAAGCAGGATGGACTGGGTTCTACTTAGAGCACCTTTCCCAGCACACACACACACACACACACACACACACACACACACCTTGCCCCAGATTGTGACCCAGCCCCTAAGTTGGTGTCCTCTTTCCTACCTTGAAGGCAAGGAGAATCGAAAGGCAAATCCATGGTTGTGTTTTGCCATCTTGGGGAGGCTGGTGGTCCCACTGGTAAAGTAAATGACCATTGGGTCCTTGGTCTTGGACTTAATACAGGTGTGTTCTGGAGATGCTGACCTGTAAAGGGATTCAATAGAAAAGGAGAGAAGTTATGTCTCCTGGCTCCCATCCTCCAGGTCAGCAAAAGAAACAACATGAGGCTCAGGGACAGAAAACTGGTTTGTTTGTTTGTTTGTTTGTTTGTTTGTGTTGATTTTAGAGAGAGAAACATTGATTTGTTTTTCCACTTAGTTATGCATTCATTGGTTGATTCTCGTATGTGCCCTGACCAGGGATTGAACCTGAAACCTTAGCGTATTGGGATGATGCTCTAACCAACTGAGCTACCGGCCAGGGCAGAAAACTGGGATCTGCAACACTGGAGGGAAAGCTGGTTCTCAGGGTCTGAGGTATCAAACAAAGTTTATGGATAAGAGGACTGACATTTCTTCATTTAAAAAATGGGGGAAACAGTGGATTATTTTTTTATTTAACAAACATGAAATAGAACTTACTGTTTCAGAAAATGCTCTAAATGATTTGCAAATAAGAAATCATTCAATCTTCAGAACAATCCTAAGAAGTAAGTATGCCCACTTGTCATGCTCACTTTGTGGATGAGGAAACTGAAGCCCAGAGAGGTTAGATTACTTGCCTGAAGACATACAGCCAGCAAGTGGCAGAGGCAGGATTCCAACCCAGTCTGATCCATAGACTGTGCTCTTAATCACACTGCTAAGCTTGTTTTTCACACAGGCTAACTCTTAAATTGCCCAGAGTCAGGATGGTACCATTTCTCAGCAAGAACCAGTGTTCCCTCCAGCATGGGAATGACCTGCAGTTTATTTGCACAACACAGGAAGTTCACGCGTCCAATCACCGCAGGTCCAAGAGACTCTGAATCTAGAAGTTTCCAAGAATCCAGGCCAAATGAGGAAACTGCAGATTTTATCTGCTGGCCTCAAACTTACACCAGGGCAGATAAGCACATATATTTGTTTCACTCTCACTCTCCAGGGCTTTCTCTCCCCTACTCCTTACCACCAAGATTGGGGAGTTTAGAAAGTTACAGAGGTAGTAGAAATGAGCCAGGTGGGCTGCGTGGACTCAGGAAACAAGTTAGCGGCAGAAGAATGGCCCTTGGAGCTTAGGAGAGAGAAGGGCAAAGATAAGCGCCTGGGGGAAGAGAGGGGGAGGGAAAGGCCCGTGCTCCCTGGAGGGAGAGCACTAACTCTCCAACCTTCTAATCTAGCGTAACACGTGACTTTGCTGTAGTGCTTGCCTTTTGGGGTTGAAGTAACTTTTTACTTTAAAAACAGAAAGGTTGCCCTGGCTGGTTTGGCTCAGCGGTTAGAGCATGGGCTTGCAGTCTGGAGAGACCCGGGTTCGGTTCCCGCTAAGGGCATGTACCTCAGTTGCAGTTTGTCCCCGGCCCTGGTTGGATCGTGTGGGTGGCAGCCACTCAATGTGTCCCTTTCACATCGATGTTTCTCTCTCTCTCTTCCTTTCTCTCCCTCCCACTCTATCTGAACAAAATATCGAAAAATGTCCTCGGGTGAGGATAAAAGAACAAACAAACAAGAAAACCCCACACACAATAAACATTCTTAAAAAATAATAATAATAAAATAAAAGCAGAAAGGTTGCTGCCTGGTCGGTGTGGCTCAGTGGTTGAGCGTTGACCCATGCACCAAGAGGTCGCTGGTTCGATTCCCGGTCAGGACACATGCCCAGGTTGTGGGCTTGATCCCCATTGGGGACAAGCAAGAGGCTGCCAGTTGATATTCTCTCTTATCAATGTTTCTAACTCTCTCCCCCTCTCCCTTCATCTCTCTCTAAAAATCAATAAAGAAAAAAAACACACACAAAAAAAAAACAAACCAGAAAGTTTGCTCTTGCATCTCGGCCACCGACATGCCATCCAGACTGAGGAAGATGGGCACGTGAGCCACGGCCTCAGCCGCATCAGCAAGGCTAGGAAGCACCCGGGAGGCCGAGGTAGTGCTGGTGGCTTGCATCATCACAGGGCCTACTTGGACAAATATCACCCAGGGCACTTTGGGAAAGTTGGCATGAGGATTATCACTGAAAGAGGAACCAGAACTTCTGCCCAACTCTCAACCTTTTTTTTTAATCCTCACCCGAGGACATTTTTCCATTTTTTGCACAGATAGAGTGGGAGGGAGAGAGAGGAAGAGAGAGAGAGGGAAACATCAATGTGAAAGGGACACATCGAGTGGCTGCCACCTGCACGACCAACCAGGGCCGGGGACAAACTGCAACCGAGGTACATGCCCTTAGCGGGAACCGAACCCGGATCTCTCTGGACCGCAGGCGGATGTTCTAACCGCTGAACCAAACCGGCCAGGGCCCAACTCTCAACCTTGATAAGCCATGGACCTTGGTCAGTGAGTGGACACAGGTCAACGCTGCTCAAAACCAGCCTGGAGCGGCTCCTGTCCCTGACATGGTGCCATCGGGCTACTACAACGTCCTGGGGACGGGAGAGCTCCCCAAGCAGCCTGTCACTGTGAAGGCCAAATTCTTCAGCAGAAGAGCTAAAGAGAAGATTAAGGGTGTGGGCAGGGCCTGAGTCCTGGTAGCTCAAAGCCACATGGAGGGCAGTTCATTAAAATGTTCATAAGTGCAAAACAGAAACCAACAATAACTGGAAGCGTTACTTCAAGGAAACTAACCCAGTGAACTTAAATAGTGTTATAAACCAATGTTACCTCAATAAAATGTTTAAAGAGAGAGAGAGAGAATAAACACAGCATGGTGTGCATTGTGGATGGGAAAAGGGGTTCGATGGAACTAACCGCACAGGTTGGTCTGATCATAAGTTCCTGACTGGGCAGGTCACAATGGGTAGTCAGGCCCAGGCATGTCACTTGTTCAATAAAAGGTTGTTTTTTGTTTTGTTTTGTTTTTTTTGTGGTACGTGCCCTGAGCGGGAACCGAGCCCGGGACTCTCTGGTCCGCAGGCCGACGCTCAACCGCTGAGCCAAACTGGCCAGGACTCAATAAAAGGTTTTAAGTCAGCCTTATTATTCTTGTACATCTAGGTTAACACCCCTTGAAATATGAAAAGTAATACCCCTTGAAAGGGGTATTAAGCCCAGCTGGTGTGACTCAGTGGTTGAACATCGACCCATGCACCAAGAGGTCACTGGTTCAATTCCTGGTCAGGGCACATGCCCAGGTTGTGGGCCCGATCCCCAGTGGGGGGGGGGGTGTGCAGGAGGCAGCTGATTGATGTTTCTATCGCTCTCTCCCTCTCTCTCTTCATCTCTCTCTAAAATCAATAAAGAAAAAATTTTTAAAGGGGTATTAACCCTCAAGAGAGCACATAATCTTAACTATCCTGTAATTGGATCCCCATTGGTTTTCTCCCACCTTCCTGTAATCTTTCTTATGTTCCCTCCTTAATTTCAAATGCATAAAAGAAGCTTCAAAGTGTTATTCTCTGAAGCATCTGAGATCTTGCTCCCCAGCAATGTTGTCTGTTTGGCTCAAATAAACTCTTACACAATTTTCCCACAGGTTCGGATGTTTCTTACATCCACAGGGGAAAAGCTGCCTGAAAGCTTACAGAATTCAAGTCTTGGAGGTGGAAAGGGTCTTTCTTACCTTTCAACATTTCCCTAACTTTTCCTGCAAGGTGTCCCTAATGGCACCCAGCCCTGGGGAGATGTTTGCTCCCCAAATTCCCTGCCAGCCACAGCCTCAATTTATCTTCCAGCCTCAAGTTTCACCTTAAAGATCTCCCTCCCTCCCTCCCTCCCTCCCTCCCTCCCTCCCTCCCTTCCTTCCTTCCTTCCTTCCTTCCTTCCTTCCTTCCTTCCTCCCTCCCTCCTCACCTGAGGACATTTTTTTCCATTGATTTTTAGAGAGAGTGGAAGGGAGGGATGGAGATAGAGAGAAACACTGATGTGAGAGAGACACATCAAATGGTTGCCTCCCAAATGACCCCGACTGGGCCCTGGGATGAAGCCTGCAACCCAGGTATGTGCCTTTGACCGGAAATCAAACCTATGACCCTTCAGTCCTCAGGCTGACACTCTAACCATTGAGCCAAACTGGCCAGGGCCAAACATTGATTTTTAATCTCTCATTCAACTTATTCATATATATATATATTTTTTTTGTACGTGCCCCTAGCGGGAACCGAACCCGGGACTCTCTGGTCCACTGCTGAGCCAAACCGGCCAGAGCTATATGAATAATATTTTAGATTCTCCACCTACAAGAAGGTTGAAATGCAATAATCCTCTAACTCTACTCATCTCCTTTTCATAGTCCCAGGGGTGATCAAATTTTAGTGCGAGAAGCATAGAAGTGCAAGTCTGTTTATTACAGAAAAGCACCTTTGGCTAAGAGAGGGGAAGGAGCTAGCCCAGGGTCACACAGCACGTCAGTGACATAGTTGAGAAGAGTTTTTTGGAGTCAGACCTGGTGAGCTTCCTACCACCAGCTGTTGTCCACCAGTGTTTGGGAGTGGAAGGCCTTCTCCCACCATTCCTCAGAGAGCACAGCTATCAGACCGGAAACTCACTTGATCAGAGATCGGAAGTCCATCCACCCTTTACGGCTATGATCAGACACCAGGAGTTTGATTTTCAGAGCAGGACAGTTAGAAGCCACAGAGTCCACCTCTGACGCAAGGGCATCTGTGGTCACAATGCTCTTGGCATTAGACACCTGCAGTCGGTAGAGAATGTCCTTGACCTTCATCTGGGTCGTCCCTGGAATGAAGATAATCCCTGGGGATGAGAAATAAACAATTTATTTCACTTTTCTCTTTCACAGCCATGGGCTTCAAGCCTGGCTTATCTGCACAGAAGTCCCCTAACCTCTTGCTATGCAAAGACCAGCAGCGTCAGCACCACCTAGGAGATGAAATCCTGTGCCCCACCCCAGGTACTGAATCAGAACCTGCCTTTTAACAAGACCTTTAAGTGATTCCCATGCACATTAAAATTTGAAACGCTTGCCCTAAACTTTTCTGCTCTAGATGGATGCAGTCAGTAGACAGGTGGATCCTACTTTGCACAAGTTTACATGGGATCTGGGAATACAGATGCACGTAGGACAGAGTCTCTGGCATCAGGAGGAGCTGCATCCCTGCCCCATTTTCCTCCTCCCACTTTCTTCTCCAACAGCCCCCATGTCACTGTGCACCCCATCTCTTTCCTTCATTCCTCATATCCAAATTTAACCACATCATTCCTTGAACTTTTCTACCATTCCTTCCATCTTCTGTCACCAACAATTAGTTCAAGTCTTTGTGTGTACCAATTGGATTCTAACCTCTCCACCAGATGCCTTGCCTTGAATCTTCCATATTATTATTTGTTTAAGTTCCACAGAGCATTTACTTCACCCTTTCACATTTTTCTTCTTCACTAACACCTGTGCCCTCTCTCCAGGAAAACACCACACTCCCCATTCTGACATTGAAGACGCTACCCACTCTCCACCTTTCTCTCCCACACCTCGATTCTCTATTTCAAGTGGCTATTCTTCACATAGGCCACTCCTGATGCCAAGCTTTGCATGTGCTATGTCCCTTCTTGCTTCTACTCCTCTTTAACTGTGCTTATCCCAGAGGGCTCAGCTCATGTCTTGGGTTTCTCATGGGCTATCTCCTAGCTCTATAGATGACATGGCTTCTTCATGCTCCCTCTGCTGTTGCTGTTAACTTTTGATTCCACATGACCTTGATGGATTAGTCAACTATTTTATGAAAGCAAGAGAGAGAATATATATGCAAGAGCATGGACAGACTGTTGTGTGAACATCTGATTCAACTGAAATGATTTTTTAAAAAGCCAAGAGTCCCATACAGATTCTAAATTGGATGGATGGATGGATAGATAGATAGATAGATAGATAGATAGATAGAGATAGATAGGCAATTAAAAGGGAAATCTCTGCAGAGGAATGTTAACTAATAAAAGTAGAGGGGGTGATATAAAAAGAAAATCTGCATATAAAACCACCATAATAATATTCAAGTCAGTCAAGAATCATGAATGGATATTCCAACCATAGGGAGAAAGACAGGATATTCACTCAGTCTCATAAGCATTACACCACAGACTACTTACTAATTAGGAAGGGAAGAGGAGCCTTTACCAAGATGGTGGTAAGGAGGTGAAGCAGTATCGCTGATGGAAGAACAGAACAACTACCTCTACCTCCTAAGGTGATGCACCGAAAAAGACACAACATCGTCCTCCCAGCATTCCTGCTAAAAATGTTTAACATGAATATAATCATGAAGCAAGAGTCAGAAATACAAATTTGTATGGATCTCCTGCAAAGCAACTGGCTCAGACAAATGTCATTGTCATGCAGAAAAGACTAGAGAACCATTCTAGGTTAAAGGAGACTGAGAAGACATGAGAAGTAAATGCAGTTGGATTTTGAACTTAAAGAAAGAAATGGCTCTCAAGTACATTATTAAGGCAATTGAGGAATTTTGACTAGGGATGAATATCAGGTAACTATACTGTATCACTGCAGACTTCTTGTGTGATAAGTCTATTGTAGTGGTATGGAGGAAATGTCAGGGATCCAGTGTTTATGGGTATTTATATGGTAATTATGGGTGTTACAATGTCTGCAGCTGATTCTTTTTTTTCATGTCCTATTGATTTATCTGAAGAACCGTGACTAATACAGCACCCAACCTTGGTAATTGCTTTTAGACTATTTTTTTTAATATAATTTTTTCTTTTTCTTAATTTATTTTTGTTACAGATGTTTCTCCTTTTTTCCCCACCGACACCCTCCTCCCCATCCCCCCTGCCCTGTCCCCAGCTTTGTTGCCCATGTCCATCGGTTATGCGTACATGCATATAAGTTCAATGGTTTATCTCTTCCCTCCCCCCACCACTCCTTCTTCTGCAGGTTGTCAGTCTGTACCCTACTTCCACGTCTCTGGGTCTACCGTGTTCCTCAGACTGTTATGTTCATTATATTCCACAAATAAGTGAGATTATATGATACTTTTCTTTCTCTGTTTGGCTTGTTTCACTTAGGATAATACTTTCAGGTCCCTCCATGTCGTCTAAAAGGATAAGAAATCTTTCTTTCTTACAGCTGCATAGTACTCCATTGTGTATATGTATCACCGCTTTTTTTAATTTTTTTATCCTCACCGGAGGACATTTTTCGATATTTTGTTCAGATAGAGTGGGAGGGAGAGAGAGGGAAACATCGACGTGAAAGGGACACATCGAGTGGCCGCCACTCGCACGACCTGACCAGGGCCGGGGACAAACTGTAGCCGAAGTACATGCCCTTAGCGGGAACCGAACCTGGGTCTCTGTAGACCGCAGGCCAACCCTCTAACTGCTGAGCCAAACTGGCCAGGGCTGTACCACCGCTTTTTTATCCATTCATCAACTGACAGATATTTGGGCTGTTTCCAGATCTTTGCTATTGTAAATAGTGCTGCTACGAACATGGGGGTACATATATTCTTTCTGATTGGTGTTTCAGGCTTTTTCAGGTATATTCCTAGAAGTGGGATCACTGGGTCAAATGGCAGTTAAATTTTTAGTTTTTTGAGGTAACACCATAGTGTTTTCTATAGTGGCTGCACCAGTCTGCATTCCCACCAGCAGTGCACTAGAGTCCCCTTTTCTCCACACCCTCCCCAACACTTGTTGTTTGATGATTTGTTGATGGCGGCCTTTCTGACAGGTGTGAGGTGATATTTCATTGTAGTTTTAATTTGCATCTCTCTGATGATTAGTGATGTTGAACATTTCTTCATATGTCTCCTAGCCATTGTATGTCCTGTTTGGAGAGGTGTCTATTTAGTTCCTCTGCCCATTTTTAAACTGGGTTTTTTGTCTTCCTTTTGTTGAGTTGTATGAGCACTCTCTATATATTGGAAATTAACCCCTTATCTGATATATCATGGCAATGAAGTTCTCCCATACAGTGGGTTGTCTTTCCATTTTGATGATTGTATCTTTTGCTGTGCAGAAGCTTTTGAGTTTGATGTAGTCCCATGTGTTCATTTTCTCCTTTGTTTCTGTTGCCTTAGGTGATGTCTCAGTGAAAATTCTGCTGTGTATGATGTCTGAAATTTTGTTGCCTACATTTTCTTCTAGGATTTTTATGGATTCATGAGTCACATTTAAGTCTTTTATCCATTTTGAGTTTATTCTTGTGTATGGTGTAAGTTGATGGTCTGGTTTCATTTTTTTGCATGTAGCTGTCCAATTTTCCCAACACCATTTATTAAAGAGGCTGTCCTTACTCCACTGTATGCTCTTGCCACCTTTGTCAAATATTAATTGAGCATATTGCCTTGGGTCCATTTCTGTTCCTCAGGTCTATATGCCTGTTCTTGTGCCAATACCAGGCTGTTTTGATTACTGCAGTTGATTTTTAAATAACTCAGTAGGGGGCTCAAATATGGCAAAAGGTTAACTCAGTAATAAAGTCTGAGAATGTGCAAGAGAAAACTGTCTGTGTGTATGAACGAGAGAACTATGACATTGTGAGTGTTAGGGAGAGAGTGAGTGAGAAGGAATAAAAATTTTTTTTTTTATCCTCACCAGAGGACATTTTCTCATTTTTTTGTTCAGGTAGAGTGGGAGGGAGAGAGAGGAACAGAGAGAGAGAAACATCGATGTGAAAGGGACACATCGAGTGGCTGCCACCGCACGACCGACCAGGGCCGGGGACAAACTGCAACCAAGGTACGCGCCCTTAGCGGGAACCGAACCCGGGTCTCTCAGGACCGCAGGTCGACGCTCTAACCGCTGAGCAAAACCGGCCAGGGCAGGAATAAAAATTTTTTGAGGGAGTCTGAGAAAGAGAAAGACTGTGAAGAAGAAGACTGTGGGGGAAGAGAAAGCACCTACTATTCCAGGACCAATTGGCTCTAGGCCATGCCTAAGGTCTCCAGGGTCTCTCTGAGTCGCTGACCTGTTCGGATGCAGCCCAGGCACACCAGCCACCACTCGGGCACTCGAGGCAGGATCAAGGCTAGATGGTCTCCCTGCTGCAGGTCACAGGTCTGCGTGAGGACGTTGGCTGTCCGGCAGGTTAAGTCTGTCAGCTCCCTGAAACTCCACTTCACTTCGTCTCCTTGGTTATTCACCCACCACAGGGCTGGGTTTGGGCCTCTTTTGCCTTCCTGGTCAAGATCATACACCATGTGTTACTTCCTGCTTTCAAGGAAAAGGGCACTTACTTCCCCAATCCACTGACATAGTCACATTCCAGTGTGAGCATAGCTCAGGGACTGAGACCCCCATTTTAAATCATTTAAAGAGCCAAGAAAAGTTAGGAGTGAGGAGTGATCCAGCCAACTTCTGGTCTACTGTAGTCACCTCCTCTCAAGTCACATAAAACCATGAATAGCCTTCATGTCACCAACTGAACTCTTAAAATTCCATTCCTACGTGTCTTAGTTCCGCGTAGACAGTGGGTTCCTCTTTGTGCCCCAGCTTTCTCATCTAGGAAATGGGGACAATAATATTACCTAGAAGGTAGTAAAGTCTAAATGAGTTATTTAAATGAGTAAAGTGTACATAACAGTACCTGGCACAAGTAGGTGCTCAATAAATATTACTATTATTATAATCGCTACACAATTAAAGAGGCTAATTAGGTTCTGAATATTTGGGGAAATTTATTTTTAAAATTGAGTTATCTTTAAAGGTGAAATTCACAAGAAGCAGAGAAACATCAAATAAACAACAAACTAAAATGTCTTTGTGGGAGCTCTCCAAACAATCAAGGATCTGTAGCAACCAACAAATGTCCAAACCATTAAAGCCATACTTAGCACGGTAGGACATTCTGCGGTGTTTTTGCTCACTTTTGCACCACCCTTCTCTAATGTGGTGCCCAAAGGTTGGGAGGAAGTCACTGGATTCCCAGCCCCTCCTTGGCACAGAAGGAAAAGAATGAAATTTGTTTGCAACATTCAGTGGGGTTGAGATGTAGCTGGAAAGAAATAAGTTGGTATACGCAATTGAAGTTAAGTTGTTATTAGTTTAAAATAGATTATTATGCCCTGGCTGGTTTGGCTCAGCGGTTAGAGCATCGGCCCGTGGTCCAGAGAGACCCGGGTTCAGTTCCCGCTAAGGGCACGTGTCTCGGTTGCGGTTTGTACCCGGCTATGGTTGGGTTGTGCGGGTGGCGACCACTCAATGTGTCCCTTTCACATCGATGTTTCTCTCTCTTTCTTCCTCACTCTCCCTCCCACTCTATCTGAATGGAAAAGATGGAAAAAATGGAAAAGATGTCCTCGGATAAGGATAAAAAAAATAGATTATTATAACTTCAAGATATTAAATGTAATATACACAATACACAGAATATACACAGAAGGAAATGAGAAGAGAATCAAAACATATCACTACAAGAAAATCAACCAGGCACAAAAGAAAGCTGTAAAAGAGGAAATGAAGGGCAAAAATAAGAGCTATGACATCAAGAAGACAATGAACAAAATGGTAATAGTAAATCCTTCTCTATCAGTAATTACTTTAAATGTAAAGGAACTAAATTTCCCAATCAAAAGACAAAAATTGCTGTCTACAAAATTATAGAATATAATAAAACCGACAAAAAAATTTCAGATTTTTTGCAATAAACTGCTAATAATATAATATCAATGTATATAAGCAAAACCATATTTACATTATAATCTAAATTTAGTAATAATTTTTCACTTATTTATTCAATATTACTAAGTTATTATTTGTTTTTTTAATCCTTACCCGAGGACATTTTTTGATATTTTGTTCAGATAGAGTGGGAGGGAGAGAGAGAGAGAGAGAAGCATTGACGTGAAAGGGACACATCAAGTGGCTGCCACCCACACGACCCAACCAGGGCCGGGGACAAAGTGCAACTGAGGTACGTGCCCTTAGTGGGAACCAAACCCAGGCAGGCCAATGCTCTAAGCGCTGAGCCAAACCGGCCAGGGCTAAGTTATTATTTCTTAGTCACTGTTCTTAGACCAAAAGGATACAATGATAAACAAGAAACACATATATGCACATCTGTAAATAGTTCTAAATATTTATGGCCAATTTTCTTGTTTAAATCACCTGCCTTATTTTCCCCAAGTTTTCTATAATGAACATTTTTAAAGATTTATTTTTATTCCCCAAATAAAACATGTTCAGAGTGAAAATTCAGGCAACGTAGAAATTTATGAGCAAAAAATGTTCTTATAAGCAAAATAATTTCTTCAAATTTCTCATCACATTTTTACTCCCTGAATGTTAGCACTGAAAATGGCTTAGTGAATATTTTTCCAGAATTTTTCCCCTACAGATACACAAACATAATATTACTACCTTTTAAATTCAGATGATTGGAACTAGAGTGTATATCTCATCTGAGTTAAGATTAATGTATGTGCATATACACATATATGTCTTTATAGCTATAAAAAAATCAGTGCTATGAAAATAATTCTTGCCCAGCAGATTAGAGAATATTAACAAGTATTTGTGACAAATTGTACACTGCTTATATAAGGGGAGCATAGTATGTAACATTTCTGCAGGAGTTTAAAATGTGATGGAAAAGTTGGTATGCCAAGGTAGAAAACAATTGTTGCTCAGATTTCAGACAGTGCGATATATATTTCTTGCACCTTAAAGAAGATATCACTTACGTAGTTATAGGTTTTTGTACTAAGAATAAATTTGATAATGTGATGTTGAGATAAAGCTGTTTTCGAGAAGATAAAAACACAACCCTTAAACTGGATTTGAAATTTAAGGTTTTATGAGGGAAGATTTGAAACCAAGGGATATTGAGAAATAGTTTTAAAAGACAAAACACTAAGTAACTCAGCAATAAAAAGAAACAAACAACTAGTCCACAAAGCAACATGGATACATTTCAAAAACATGCTGAGTAAAAGAAATCAGACACAGCCCTGGCCAGTGTGGATCAGTGATTAGAGCGTTGGCCCGCGGACCCGTGAGTTCAATTCGGTCGAGGGCATGGACCTCGGTTGTGGTTCGGTCTCCAGCTGGCAACCAGTCGATATGTCCCTCTCACGTCCATGTTTCTCTCTCTCTCCCTCCTTCCCACTCTTTCTGAAGATAATTGGAAAAATATCCTCAGGTGAGGATTAAAAAATTTTAAAAAGGCATTGGCCGGTTTGGCTCAGCCATTAGAGTGTCGGCCCGCAGACCAGAGAGTCCCGGGTTCGGTTCCCGCTAAGGGCACGTACCTCGGTTGCAGTTTGTGCCCAGTCCTGGTTGGGTCGTGCGAAGGGCAGCCACTCGATGTGTCCCTTTCATGTCGATGTTTCTCTCTCTCTCTCTCTCTCTCTCTCTCTCTCTCTCTCTCTCTCTCTCTCTCTCTCTCCCTCTATTGTAACCCAGGAGATCGACCAAACTCAGACCCCGAGATGGGGTTTAACAAAAGGAGGTTATTGAGCTAAGTCCGCAGGCACCTGCAGTATGTCCCACACAGGAGTAACTGCGGCCCGGAGAGCTAAAATGGCTCCTTTTTATAGGATTTTGTAAGGGGGTTGCTACGTGTAAGCAAGCATGTTACAGAAGCAGAATTTAGCAGTTAGTTAATTACCTGTTACTCAGTTTCCCAGACATCTCAAAGGTCAAGATGTTTTCAATTAGATTATCCCTGGTGCCGCCCAGGATTACTCAAGGGTTAGTTATTATCCCAGGGTTGGCGATTACTTAGGGATTAGTTAGTGAAGAATGTTCTTCAGTAAATGAGTAAACTGACAACCCTTTTGGTTGTCGTGAAGGCCTCTGGGAGTTTAGGTCAATGGCACTGAGTTATAACACCTCCCACTCTATCTGAACAAAAAAAAAAGAAAAGGAAGAATGTCCTCGGGTGAGAACTAAAAAATAAATAAATAAAATAAAATAAAAAAAAGAAATCAGATGTCAGATGCAAAGTGAGCAGCAGGTCAGTGGTTATCTGGGGCTCAGGGTCGGGGTGGGTGGGATCGACTGAGAAAGGACAAAAGCAAATTTTGGGGGTGATAGAAATATTCTAAAACTCATTCAACTTTGTACTTAAAATGTGGGCATTTTATTCTATGTAGAATATATATTGATATAGTTGTTTTAAATGAACAAAAACACAAAACTACTCCTTGGTAAGAAAATTGGAAAGGCAGATCAGTTACATGGGTGATTCATGAATGAGATTATTCTTTTTGAATATCAAAAACATACGAGTTTCTGCCCTGGCCGGTTTGGCTCAGCGGTTAGAGCGTCGGCCTGCGGTCCGGAGAGACCTGGGTTCGGTTCCCGCTAAGGGCATGTACCTTGGTTGCAGTTTGTCCCCGGCCCTGGTTGGGTCGTGTGGGTGGCAACCACTCGATGTGTCACTTTCACGTCGATGTTTCTCTCTCTCTCCCTCCCACTCTATCTGAACAAAATATCGAAAAATGTCCTCGGGTGAGGATAAAAAAATAAAAAAAACAAAAAAAACATACGAGTTTCAGATATACAACATAATAATTAGACATTTATATAACATACCAATATAATATTATATGTCAGTTGTAATTGAAAAATTTGAACAATTATTAAAAATCTAAAGACATCCAAGTCACATACACACAAAGAAACAAAACCTACACTTATGCATTTATTGTTTGTAGAAAGGGTTTGTCTCAGTATTTTTATTTTATTTTATTTATTGACTGATTTTAGAAAGAGAGGAAGAGAGAGGAGAAAGAGATTTGTTGTTCCACTTATTTATATATTCATTGTTTGCTTCTTATATGTGCCCTGACGGGGGATTGAACCCACAACCTTGGTATACTGGGACAACACTCTAACCAACTGAGCTACCCAGCCAGAGCCACAAGGAATTTTCTTTTGTTTTGTAATGAATTCTTTGCCAACACATACACACACACAATCAGAAGAGTGTGCATAAAAATGTTGGATTTCTAACTTACATTTTACAAGTAAAATGTGTTGAAATGTGAGTCAAAATAAATTCTGCCACCCCGTTATGGTGTTGGTTGGTTGTGTTGCTGATTAGGCCATGGATCAGTGTGGGGTGGTGACCGTTACATTGGAAGGGAGGCTCAGGGAGCAGAGTGGACTGCAGTGGTGTGCCCTCTGCCAAGTCTTTTTTTAATCCTCACTAGAGGATATTTTTTCTTTTCTTTTTTTTTTAAATTGGAGGCACTATTACTTATTTTTTCTTTATTGATTTTAGCGAGAGGGGGAGAGAGATAGAAACATCGATGAGAGAGAACATCGACTGGCCACCACCTGCATGCCCCCCACTGGGGATCAGGCCCACAACCTGGGCATGTGCCTTAACCAGAAATCGAACTGGTGACCTCTTGGTGCGTGGATCGACGCTCAACCACTGAGCCACACCGGCGGGGCTGGAGGATATGTTTTCTATTGATTTTTAGAGAGAATGGGAGGGGGGAGTGGGGAGAGAAAGAAACATCAATATGAGAGAGACACATCAATTGGTTGCCTCCCACACACTCCCCTACTGAGGTCTGGGATCTGCTGGAGCCGGGAATTAAACCTGCAACCCAGATATGTGCTCTTGACCGGGAATCAAACTTGCGACCCTCTAGTGCTCAGGCCGACTCTCCAACCACTGACCCACACTGGCCAGGACAAGTGAATCTTTAATAGGAGCAGCACCAAGACCTATGGATTGTAAGGCAGATTTCAAAATTAATTTATTCCACAAATGTTCATTGAGAAACTTCTAGGTGTTAAACACCATGCATCACTAGAAAGACGCTAATCATGGTCAAGGTGATTGGAAAAGTGGAAACAGACAGATCAGAAGTGTTGTGAGAATGAAAGTTAATGGGATAAGGGTGCTTGGGGTGACATTGGGAGACATTGGGAGATGTGGAGGAATTGACAGTGACTGATGATGGTGACATAAAACCCAACAAAAATGAGGGAATACCATTTACTTGGTGTTTACTTGGTTATCTCCATGGGTTGATGCAGGAACTAACCAATACAAATTTTACGAAGATAAATGCAAAGAAAAAGTGATGGGCTCACTTCCTCCTCTCTACCTCCTCCCTCTCCAACCCATCTCATGGTCTAAAAGGTCTTCATCAGATTTATGGCCTGGGCAGTAATGAAAGTCAACTTATAGTCTGAAGGGAGAGATGTTTAGTACCATCAGATCATGAGACCAGGTTAAATAATGGATTTTAGAGTTAGATAACCTGGATCCTATTCTCTCCTTTACTTACTAGGTATGTAATTTCTGTTGGTTATTTAAAACTCTCGGAACCTTAGTTTTCTCATCTGGAAAATGGGGATAATAAAAGTGTCCATCTAGTCAGACCATTAAAATGCAAAGAGCTTGTCCTGGCTTGTTTGGCTTAGTGGTTAGAATGTTGGCCCACAGACTGAAGGTTCGAGGGTTCAATTCCTGGTCAAGAGCACAAACCTGAGTTGTGGGTTTGATCCCTGGCCCCGTGAGGGGTCGTGCAGGTGGCAAACCAATTGATATATTTCTCTATCTCTCCCTTTCCTCTCCCTTCCACTCTCTAAAAATCAATGGAAAAATATCTTCGGATGAGGATTAACAACAACAACAAATGAAAAGCATTCAACATGGCATATAAAAAATACCCCTTATAACCAAAGACTCTATTTTCCTTGGAGTTACTATGAAAATTTAGAGAAAGGAAAAAGAAAGAAGTAGGAGGAAGCCCCATGAAAGGCATATGAGCCTTGAATACTAACATATAGATGCATGTTCATGGGAAACTTAAAAATTCTATCAACTCTCTGAATCTATCACAGCTGAATTCTCTCTTTGCACAAAGATAATGTTGGGTAACTTTTCACACTGTGAACGGCATCAGCTGGGACTTAGTAGCTGGAACACCACCCTGTCTGCCCCAACCCCTGGTGGTATCACTGCTCTTCTTTTGGTCTGTTTCTTAGGAAAAAACAAACCAAATACTTGTTTTTTTCTGAAGAGACATGTAAACTGTACAGGCTACAAGCACTGGTTTCTTTGGACATATCCCAATGCCACACCCAAGTGGGTAGTTGATAGGTAGGACTCCAGCTGAACTTGCCATCCTCACAGGAAGATTGATGACACGACTTAGCTCTAAGTGTCAGATGCACTCAGGTGGTCTGTCCCTTCCTTCTTTTTTTTTTTTTTAATTTTTTTTTTTTTATCCTCACCCTAGGACATTTTTCCATGTTTTACTCAGATAGAGCGGGAAGGAGAGAGAGGAAGAGAGAGAAACATCGATGTGAAAGGGACACATCGAGTGGCCGCCACCCACACGACCCAACCAGGGCCAGGGACAAACTGCAGCCAAGGTATGTGCCCTTAGCGGGAACCGAACCCGGGTCTCTGTGGACCGCAGGCTGACGCTCTAACCGCTGAGCCAAACCGGCCAGGGCTGTTCCTTCCTTCTGAGTGTAGCCTGAAGTTAAGCCCAAGTCTGGTGAGATAAATTCCAGTTAGACTCAAAGTCCCATTAGTTGAAGGTCAGAATGCAGACTAACGTCAACTTGCTGACCTTGTTGATTAGAACTTTGCATTTGGTCATGATTATCTGACTGTGCACCAGATACTTTTACCTGCTGTCTTGTTTCTTAAATGAGATTATCCCTGTTTCATAGATAAAACCACTGAGGCTCAAGAAGTACAAAATTGGCCAGGCTGCGAATCGAAGCCCTAAACGTAAACTTTTTCCATGGCACTGATAAGCTGAGGCAGAAGCTGTATTGGTTCTGTGCCCTCAGCCTACTAGGAGCAAGATAAGCAGGGAGGCCACACCTGTTATCACCGCCCCCCCCCCCCCCATCACAGGTGCCTCCTCACCTTCTCTATTTGAGTCCAGTAGTCTATTACATCACTTGCAAAGTTAAATTCCTCAGGCGTATCCTGGTCATTCCATCTTGTGGTTCCAGGTGCTGACAAAGACTGGTAGTGCAAGTGCCGAGGGGCAGGATGGAAGCCGTGGAAGGACTTGTGGATGCCCCAAAGGACCCGGAACCTCGTCAGCCCCTGCATGGCGGAGCAGTCCTCAGGAAGCGGCACAGACTTCTCTGGTCACCACCTGTCTTGGGGAGAGATGGCTAATAGGTTGGTCATGAAGCAGGACTTTCCTCCACAAGATGAAGGCACATTTCTGGTTACTGGCTAGAGTTTTGTTTCAGCTGACCAGTATTTGGAAGGCACAATTTATTGACTTAGGATGTAGGATTTCTCTCCCCATCTTAGGAACCACAAGGCAGAGAATTATGGGGAGGGACTGTGCTGCTAGATGAGGTTGGGACACATTCCTGAGGGCCTTCTCCTGCTCTTCCACCCCTGGGATTTAAGCTCAGGTTGGCAGCCATGTGGCCGCCCCTTTGTGGTGGAAACCCACCATTTGAAAGTCCTGCACTCCATGCTAGCCTTGCTCTGGAGACCTCTCTTCCTGCTGAGCCCAATGGGGTGGTTCTCAGGAAGCTATTCTAGTTTTAGATGATTCCAGGCCCTGTCCAAAGTTGATTGGTCCAGGGTTGAGCAGTCATTCCCTATAATCTTTTAATCCAGACTGGGCTACTCATGATTCCTCTCCTAAACGTGGCGTGTGCATGTCACCGAGGAGTGGAAGGCACTCTCTCTGGTGGCAGCCACGAAGCACAGTCAGGAGCGGTCGGGGTGCTGGTCCTGGCAGGTGGAGATAGCCGCCCTGCATGAGAGAAGAAAACCACGTGCAGAGACGTGGACCGAGGGGCAGGGAGGATCTCGGAGGCGTCCCAGTGGCTGGTTCATATTGTTCTGAGGCCCATCTGCATCTCCACCCCTCTCTTGTTAATATCCCGTCCTGGATTCTGTGAGCCAACAAGTTTTCCTGCCTGAGACTAGGTCTCAGTCACTTGGGACTATGAGGATATTGACAAACATCCACCACCGCACTCAGGTCAGATGAAACTATGTCACAGCACCTGCCGCACTGGACTGGGGTCTGGCCTCAGGTCTTCCCCGGGACAGCGTTCCGGCAGCTGTCACCAAGCCATCAGCGTTGACCCACCAGACCTTTGCCACACCCGATCCCAACAAATGCCCCTAAAATGGGAGCAAAACCCTTTTTTATTAGATCTTGAAGTGTGAGTGTGAACATTGGCTTAAGCTAGAATGATCTTTCCATAAGAATGCTGACCGAGGGAGAGCCGCCTCCCAAACAGCTTGGAGATTCAAGCCCTTTGTCACTGCAAATAGTTCAGGTTCCTCCCCGACTCAGTAGTCGGATAGTACTGTTAACAAGAGACCTACAGAATAGATCAATAAAACTTGACTCAGTTTATTTTCGGGCCGTTTGGACCCCAATAACCTAGCCTCAGCTAATTTTGATGCTGCCCCCAGAACCCTGCTACCAGTTCCGAGTGGGAAGGCCACGGCTAAATGCGTCACTGGGTTATTGTCGGCAGAAAAGAGCATAGAAATATGTAAAGTTCACGCCTCAGAGTCTGCTTGTTAGCATGGGTTCTTAGGCCACATGAACTTTGCTTCCTTTTTAGTGCCTGTCAATCAACAGCACCACCTTTTGTTTTGTCAGAGTGCTCCAGGGAAAGAAAGGCCCTGAGCTATCAGCTGATGGGACCTGGCACTCGGGGTATTTCCTTTGCTTTGTTTAAATGGGCGTTTCCAGCTTTACCCAGCGTATTTTGCCACACCTCCCTGTTTCTCCATTACTGCACCTGTTGAGTTTAAAAGTCCTGATCTTGCCCTGGCCGCTTTGGCTCAGCGGTTCGAGTGTCAGCCCACAGACCAAAGAGACGCAGGTCCGGTTCCAGCCAAGGGCACGTACCTCGGTTGCAGTTCCTCCCCGGCCTTGATTGGGGTTGTGCGGGTGGCAGCCAGTCGATGTCTCTCTCTCTCTCTCTCTCTCTCTCTCTCTCTCTCTCTCTCTCCCACCCATTCTGTCTAAAGGTAAATGTAAAAATATCCTCCGGTGAGGATTAAAAAAAAATCCTGATCTAAGCCAACACCCCAAGGTTGCAAGGCAAGTGTAGTAGCAGAGCTGGTTCTAGAAACTGACCTTCCCTGTTATTATTTCCAGCACGTACCTCCCTCCACAGGTACCAACTGGTTTAGAGCAAGAATGCCCAACTCAGTTGCTACTACTATACACAGGTGTATAAATGACCTCAGAAATCCTTAAAATACCCAAGGACGGTCCAAAACGCCCCCTTAACAAACCAAATGGAGAGAAAGAACAAGGAGATTTATTAACCCTTTATTATGAGCCAAATTGCATCACCCCCCCCCCCAATTTTATATGTTTAAGTCCTAACCCCCAGTACCTCAGAATGAGACTGTTTGGAGGAAGAATCTTTAAAGAGGTAATTAAGTTAAAATGAGGTCATTAGATGGACCCTAATCCAATGCGACCGGTGTCCTTGTAAGAAGAGATCAGGACACAGACAGGTGGAGGGGATGCCATGTGGACATGAAGCCGGCCGCCTGCAAGCCAAGGAGCTAGTCCCAGAAGAGACCACCCCTGCGGATGCTTCCATCTCAGGCTTCTCGCCTGCTGAACTGTGGGAAATGATCTGAGCCCCCCAGCCTGTGGTTCTTTGTTATGCCAGACCTAGCAATCTAACACACCTCTCTTAAATAAAAAAGAAATGACTTTGGTATTATCTTATAAAGATGTTTGAAATTCTGACTTACTCTTCATCATATGAGTGGGCCAAACACCACCAGCACGGAGCTGGGAGGACTGTGGGAGCTGAGAGCCTGCCCCTAGGAGTCAAACAGCACAGGTTCGAATTCCAGCCCCTCCACTCATCACCTGCACAGCTTTGGGCAATTTTCTTAACTTCTCTCTAAAATATTAGCAGCACCTGTTTCCTAAAGTTGTGGCAGTGAATAAATGATATCCTGTATAAAGCATGTAGCCCAGCCTGGCTGGTGTGGCTCCATGCACCAAGAGGTCACTGGTTCCATTCCTGGTCAGGGTACACGCCCAAGTTGTGGGTCAAATCCCCAGTGGGGGGTGTGCAGGAGGTTCTCTCTCATTGATGTTTTTATCTCTCTCTCCTTCTCCCTTCCTCTCTCTCTAAACTCAATAAAAAAATTTTTTTTTTAAAGATATAGCCCAGATTCCGCACAGATAAGTGGTCCTGATATGGGAGTTTCTGTTAATAAACACTCTCTCTGGGGAAACTCTCACTGAATAATTAAGCTTCAGAAAAATGGCTGCTTGACCTTTGGAATTAGTGTCTAATGTGAAGGAACAGGGATAAATTCCTGAACACAGACACCGCAGTGTCCAGCTTCTGCATGAATAAGTTAAGAACCTAATCTCACAGTGTTAAGACTAAAAGTCAGAGATATCTATACTTATACGTCTATCTCTATCTACATGTATATCTGTCTTTATAACTATCAATTTCTATATCTATAATTATGCCCATATATGCTGTTACCATCTGTATCTATAACTATTTGTATATGTATATGTATGTGTACATATTCCTCAGAATGCCTGGGAATCGAACCAGGACCTCTCAGACTAGAGGAGGAAACTCAATCCACTGAAACACACCAGTGAGGCACACATTGGTACTTAAAAAAAAAAAGTTAGATTTTTCTTTTTTGTCATAATTTGGAAAACTGAAAGATGAAAATTGGGGGGAAAAATTCAGTATGCCTACAAAATGTCTGAATTACAGAATATATATATATATATATATATATATATATATATATATATATGCCACATGTAGTTTTAGATATATCAGAGATTAATTAGGCTGCAAGAATTCCTACTCTCTTGGACTTTATAGTCTAAGGCAGTAACTTTTAACGGGTATGCTGCAAGAATTTTTAAAACATGCAATACCTGACTATTTAGTTAGGAGCACTGACCTTGTTTCCCTAAGATTGTCAAATAAAAAAATGACGGCTGCCTCCCCAGCCAGTTTGCTAAGTGGTTAGAGCATCAGCCTGTGGATCTCGGGCTCAATTCCCAGTTAAGGGCTCATGCCTGGGTTGCAGGTTCAGTCCCCGGCCTCAGTCAGGGTGTGTTCAGGAGGCAACGAGCTGATTGACGTGTCTCTCTCACATCAATGTTTCTCTCTCTCTCTCCCCACCCCCACTTCTCCCTTCCATTTTTTCTTAAAAAAAATCAATGGAAAAAATATCCTCGGGTGAGGATCAATAACAACAAAAAGACAACAGCCAACATAACAATAGCGGTTTGGTGTGAATGAATCAAAATTATACCTATTTTGGCCAGATTGCCAAAAAAATATAATATATTTTTTGGTGTGTCACAGAATTTTAGTAATTAGTTTATATGTGCCATGAGATGAAAATGGTTAAAAATCGCTGGTCTATTCGGCGGCGGTCACTGAGCAGATCGGAATCCTCTAGTTCGAGCACCAGGCTGGGCTTTCTCTACAACCATGTCAGAGAAACCTGATATGGCTGACACTGAGAAATTTGATAAATCAAAATTGAAGAAAACAGAGACGCAAGAGAAAAATCCAGTGCCATCAAAAGAAATGATTGAACAGGAGAAGCAAGCAGGCGAATCGTAATGGGGCATGCACCGCCAATATGCCCTGTGCATCAACAAGCATTGCCTTCTTATTTCACTTCTTTTTTTTGAAATCTTCACCCGAGGACATTTTTCCAGTTTTTCTTCAGATAGAGAGGGAGAGAGAGAAACATCGACGTGAAAGGTACTCATCGAGTGGCTGCCACCTGCACGACCCAACCACGGCCGGGGACAAACTACAACTGAGATACATGCTCTTAGCGGGAACTGAACCCGGGTCTCTCTGGACCGCAGGCTGACGCTCTAATCGCTGAGCCAAACCGGCCAAGGCTTATGTTACTTCTTTTAGCTGTTCAATTTTGTAAGGTGCAAAGAGGTTGGATCAGTTTAAATGACTGTGCTGCCCCTTTTCAAATCAGAGAACTACTGACAAGGAAGGCCGCACCTGCCTCTCCCATCTGCCTGTCTGGCTGGCAGGGGAGGAAAGAACTTGCCTGTTAGTGAAGGAAGAAGCTGGTGGGATGACAGTGAGACCTAGAGTGAAAACCAAGCTGGTCCAACGGGTCCTGCAGGCTGTAAAATGCAGTTTAATCAGAATGCCATTTTATTTTTTGTTCAAATTATTTTAATTAATGAAACAATTTTTTATGTGCAAATAAAAAAAATTTTCAAATATGCAAAAAAATAAAATCGCTGGGCTAAGGACATCCTACAAAATAGTTTTAAGGAACAACCTTTTGAAATGCTTTAAAGTGTATTTTGAAGTCACTTTGGCATTGCAGTTTTAAGGAGTGACTCAGCTCCCGACCGTATGCCGGTCCACAGCGCCTTGAAGGGTTCCAGCAACCTTCTGATTTCACAAAAATTTGGCCTGAAGAAAGCAATCTGTTTTCTAAAATAACAGATTTAGTGTGTCATAGGAGGTCTTAGAGTTTGGTTCCACTGCCTACCAGCTGGATTTTGGCCATTATTTGTGTCTCTGAACTTAAGGGCACAGTAACAATACCTACCACCCACCTTCCTTCAGGATTAGTAAAATAATCTACAAAAATTACTTTGCCAGAAAGAACAGGCAGATAGACCAATGGAACAGAACAGAGAACCTGGAAATGGACCCAAGGCAATATGCTCAATTAATATTTGACAAAGGGGGCAAGAGCATACAGTGGAGTGGAGTCAAGACAAGCTGTTTAATAAATGGTGTTGAGAACATTGAACAGCTACATGCAAATAAATGAAACTAGACCATCAACTTACACCATACACAAGAATAAACTCAAAATGGATAAAAGACTTAAATGTGACTCATGAATCCATAAAAATCCTAGGAGAAACTGTAGGCAACAAAATTTCAGACATCATACGCAGCAGAATTTTCACCAATACATCACATAAGGCAACAGAAACAGAGGAGAAAATGAACACATGGGACTACATCAAACTCAAAAGTCTCTGCACAGCAAAAGATACAATCGTCAAAATGGAAAGACAACCCACTGTATGGGAGAGCATAATAGCCAATGATACATCGGATAAGGGGTTAATTTCCAATATATAGAGAGTGCTCATACAACTCAACAAAAGGAAGACAAAGAACCCAATTAAAAAATGGGCAGAGGAACTAAATAGACACCTCTCCAAACAGGACATACAAATGGCTAGGAGACATATGAAGAAATGTTCAACATCACTAATCATCAGAGAGATGCAAATTAAAACAACAATGAGGTATCACCTCACACCTGTCAGAATGGCAGCCATCAACAAATCATCAAACAACAAGTGTTGGCGAGGGTGTGGAGAAAAGGGGACTCTAGTACACTGCTGGTGGGAATGCAGACTGGTGCAGCCACTATGGAAAACAATATGGTGTTACCTCAAAAAATCAAAAATTTAACTGCCATTTGACCCAGTGATCCCACTTCTAGGAATATACCTGAAGAAGCCTGAAACACCAATCAGAAAGAATATATGTACCCCCATGTTCGTAGCAGCACTATTTACAATAGCAAAGATCTGGAAACAGCCCAAATGTCCATCGATTGATGAGTGGATAAAAAAGCAGTGATACATATACACAATGGAGTACTATGCAGCTGTAAGAAAGAAAGATCTCTTATCCTTTGAGACAACATGGAGGGACCTGGAAAGTATTATCTTAAGCGAAACAAGCCAGACAGAGAAAGACAAGTATCATATGATCTCACTTATTTGTGGAATATAATGAACATAACAGTCTGAGGAATGGGGTAGTCCCAGAGACATGGAAGTGGGGTACAGACTGACAATCCCCAGGAGAGGGAGTGGTGGGGGAGAGACAAAGCACAGAACTTATATGCTGAACAATGGACATGGACAACAAAGCTGGGGACAGGGCGGGGAGGGGGGAATCAGTGGGGGAAAAAGGAGAAACATCTGTAAGAAAAATAGATTAATTAATTAAATTTAAAAAAAAAAAACTTTGCCAGCACTGTGTCTAATAAGGGTAAAGGGCTCAATAAATGTAATACCCAGCAAATTCTAAAGCTGATCCCGGAGTTAAATATGAAAATTGTTTTAGAAAATGAAAGCCAATGCCTTGGCCAGTTTGGCTCAGCAGTTAGAGTGTCAGTCCGAGGACCAAAGAGTCACGGGTTTGATTCCCGCCAAAGGTCATGTACTTTGGTTGCAGATTGGATCCCCCACCCCAGTTGGGGTCATGCGGGAGTCAACCAATTGATGTGTCTCCCTCACATCTCTCTCTTTTTCTTCCCCCATCCCACTCTATCTAAAAATCAATGGGGCAAAAAAAAAAAAGAAAAGAAAAGCCAAACGCTTATATAATGTGAACCCACTACTGCATGGTGGAGTTTTCTTTCACGTATTCACCTCTGGGTCTTTTTTTTTTTCCACTCCCCTCTGCACCTTGCCCCATGCAGAGCTGTACAACATTAAACCGATCACCTGCTCTGTGCCAGCCACTGCGTTAGGCATATCATGTGCATAGTCCCATTCATCTCCCTACTCAATATCACCACCCCCATTTTGCAATTAAAGAAATGAAGTGTCAGAAAAGTTAAGAGACTTGGCAAAAGTCAGCCAACCTGTAAGTAGTATTGTCAGAACCTGAAACCGGGCTTTCAGATTTTCAGTTCAGGGCTCTGTATATACTTGACTGCCCCCAGATTCTCTCTCTCTCTCTCTCTCTCTCTCTCTCACACACACACACACACACACACACACACACACACACGACGCTGTCATTCACCTCTCATTGGCCTCTGTCTTACCTGGGACTGGAGACTTTCTAAGAAACAGCTGGACCAGGTCTTGGATTGGGACAGAAAAGGGAATTTTGTGTGCCTAGTTCTCTCCAGTTAGCAGTTTGCAAGAGTGTGCACATAAGTGAACTTTGCTCCTAGTCACTCCCTGGGTGAAAACCTTGGCAGGAATTGGATGATTTAGAAGAAGGAATACTCAGGTAGAGCAAGCAGAGAGCCAATCATAGGCCTGCAGACAGAGAATTGGATAGAAAAACAAGTCATATGATCCCATAATTCTTGTGGGATGACTGTCAGTGTGAATGAACAAAGCCGAGTGGAGCACTTTCACTGTTCTCTGTGGCTGACTTGCTCCCCTTTCCCAGCCCTGTACCTCCAGTGTTTCCATGTAAATGAGAGCCAAATGGCAGTGTTGCCTAGTAGTTAAGGCCCGTGCTCTGGAGGCAGAAAGATTTGAGTTTAAGCCTCAGGTCTGCCATTTGCAATTTCTTTGACCATTGCTGACCTCCTTTCTTTTTTTTTTTTTTTTTTTAATCCTCACCCGAGGACATTTTTCCATTTTTTTGTCAGGTAGAGTGGGAGGGAGAGAGAGGAACAGAGAGAGAGAGAGAAACATCGATGTGAAAGGAACACATCGAGTGGCTGCCACCCGCACAACCGACCAGGGCCGGGGACAAACTGCAACCGAGGTACACGCCCTTAGCGGGAACCGAACCCGGGTCTCTCACGACCGCAGGCCGACGCTCTAACAGCTGAGCCAAATTGGCCAGGGCCTGACCTCCTTTCTCTAAGCTTCGGTTTCCTTATTTGTAAAATGGATATGACAGTAGTGACACCTGTTGCCTATGGCTTTTATTTTAATTTTATTTTTTTTGTTAATCCTCACTCGAGGATATTTTCACATTTATTTTTAGAGAAAGTGGAAGGGAGGGAGAGAGAGAGAGAAACATTGATTTGATTGATTTGTTGTTCCACTTATTTCATTCACTGGTTGCTTCTTGTATGTGCCCTGACTGGGGATCGAACCCACAACCTTGGCATATCAGGCCAATGCTCTAATCAACTGAGCTACCCAGCCAGGGTATGGTTGTTTTGTTGTTGTTTGGATTAGATGAAATAATTCGTGAAAAGCAAAGAGCACAGTGCTTGGCATAATCAATGTTGGCTGTTTGCATTAATTTGGGATTCTAAGGTTAAGTTTGCTGTACTAGCAAAATGAAGGGTCTTTGGAATCCCAAAGTCTTGAGCTTAAGTTCTGGCTCAGCCACTTATCAGATGGCCCATGTGCAGGCCATTTGCCTATTCTAACCTTGGTCTTCTGGTCTGAAAAATGGAGGTGTGGGGGTTGTTGTCAGATGTGTCCCCTGGGATCTCTGAAAGGACTGCATATGTAATGCCCGGGAGGTGCCTGGAGGTCCTATTGAATAAGCCTGGATTGTCACACGTAGTGGCTTGAACTGTTCGTTCTCTGCTGGAGGCATTTTGGGGGTTTTGTTGGGTATGTTGTTGGAGGATAGGGGCACCTCCAGTATTCTGGCCCAACTTTCTCAGTACATTATACCTCCCAACCTCCATTGATCCAGGAGAGAAATACCACTGTCCAAAGTCACCACCAAAGAGTGCTGGAAACACCTAGAACCTCCCTGCCGTGGCCAAAGGGAAACCTGGCTTCTGAGAGGTGGATCTTGCTCTTCCTGATTGATTCACTCGTGATGAACTTTCAGCTCGGGACAGACTTTCACGTCATGGAGAGGAGCCAGTGAGAAGGCAGGGCTAGTTG